AATTATTCCCATATATTCTTAAGTTTGATTAGCGCAGTTTTGCTTAACATGGTAAAACTCGGGGATTTATTAACCGCGTTAATCAAGGGATTGCTGTATTGCACACTTGATGGCATGCCTCTGTACCAAACTACCAAAAACATTCAATTTATTGAAACCTAATACACAGTACACCATAGTGGCAAAGCAGAGAGTTTTTTAGACTCTCCCTCAGGCTCAAGTTCATTTTTGAGTCCTATAAGTAGACCAGTAAAGTATCATGGATATGGGAGCGCTGCCGTAGCCCAAAAATTTGACTCTGAAATCAGCCCAAGAGCCAATGCCAACCATCTACATGCAGTAGAAATAGTCAGCCTAAATCCTATGCAGCTGTTCTTACTTGCCTCATCTCACCACATCAGCTTGAAACAAGCAATGCCTCATCCCACAAGCTGATACTCCAAACGGATTATGCCCAATAGCTCCTACACCAATGATTTAAGCCCATACCATCACTTGTTACAAATGCCGTAAGCCACAGGGTCCGTAGACCGCACCAGACTGCCGTAAATGGGAACGGCCCCGCACCGATTTGGTCCCTGTGGCTTTCAGCAAGTAATCATGTTGGCTAATTTGCTCTGCAGCATGCTTGGGCATGGGGAGAAGTATGAAAATTATGCTGGTATTGGGCAATGCTGGGCTATTTCAGTCGTCCCATGGATACCATCATACCAGCATCATCATACCTGTCATAAGATATTGGTTTAAGTCTTGAGTAAATGAGGAAATTAAAAATGAACTTATTCTAAAAATTCTCTGGTTTGTTGCTATGCAGTACACACTAAAGGCAACAAGTTTAAAGACCAATTTGTCATTCATAGTACATTTATACTATCACCCTTAGCTAATGACAAATTTATACTATCACCCTTAGCTAAATAACAATAGGATAAACGCGGTATATTCCGACACATTAAGGATGCATCAAGAAATGAAGAACTATAAAAAATTAACCATATGCGTTACTCGAATTCTGTTTGCTTTACGCGTCTCTCAAAACACTGCACTACACGCCAGCAACAATGAAACGTCAAAAAGTGTTGCCATATTTATTTAAAAGCCTTCAGAATGCAAACCTACCAAATCCATATATTCCGATGCTGTGTGTGACTAAATTTGGCACGTTGTGAGACGAATTCTGGCCGCGCTTCAAACTCTACTAATACGTAATTCCAACATCCTTGTGTTCAAATTCCGTTTGCTGTGTGAGCTGTATTGGAATACGACATGGCTTTGAATTAGAACACTATTGAATATTGAACACTACTTAATTAGGCTTTTAATTAACAGCTATTAAGCTTTTAATTAAGAAAATTTTAATTTTTGCACACAGCTTGGAACGAGCTGTGTGTGTCCAATTCAAGTTGTCGGAATTAGTTTTTATGTGTCTAAATCCGTTTCTGCCGCGATTGCTGATTTGGCCCGTGTGCAGCTCTGCAGGGGTATGTTCTGTCATTGTGTCACGTAAAATTGGTGACCGTATTTGGTGCACATTGCTCAGGGTTGAAATTCATCATTATTCCTGGCGATGTGTACCAAATGAAGCCATGCCTGTTGTGGCTCATATTGGCTCATGTCACCTATCGTAATCACTTCTAATACTATGGGCGATGTGTACCAAGCAAAGACATGCATCTATGGCTCATATTGCCAAAAAACGCCCAAAGTTATCACTTTTATTACTGTGAGTGATACGGGCAAGTAACCTACATTAGTTTTGACTTTTGAGTCATAATTGCACACATAATGACTACCGGTATCTCTTAGCTTTTTGTGAACGATGTATATTACACATGGAAATTACTATGGAAAGAGATTGGTGTCCAGGTTTTCATAATTCTAAATAAAATTGAGGGTATTAACATTGTTAGTTCAGTTATATTTACCTTATAGAGATCATTCATCGTATATAGGTATTGTCTTGAGCTTCTGTTACAAGCAGCATCTCAGAGAGAGTAAAATCAGGATGTAGATTTCAAATTATTGAGTGGGAAAGAGGACAGCCCACTTTCATTGAACCAACTAGAACTAAATCCAGGATGCACTGCCATGAATGCTACAACATACTCTCAGCAAATGAGGAAAGTGCCGTAGCAAAGGTGAAACTCGAAGAGCAAAAAAACACATTGCTGACTGTGAAGGAAAGTCATACATGTGCGATAATTGTTTTTCAATCGCGTATGCAAGACAATGATGTTGGCAACACCCAATGTTGTAGTTTCAGATCAATAAAAAAAAAGATAGATGCAAAGATAGATATATAAGCATGCAAAGATAGATATATATATGGCTTTCATCAATGGACACAAATTTTGTAGTTTTTGTACTTCTTGCATCTGAAAATAAGACTATTTCTTTAAGCAGTAGTTGACTTCAAAGCATCCCCTAACATGCCTATTGAATTGTATCATTGAAATTTTAAATTTGAAAGAGTAATAAGATTTTATAGAAATATGTATTTTTCATTGGCATGTACCACATGTGTACACATCGTGATTCTGATAAGTACAGCGTGTACATATATGGCACACATCGCGGCCAACGTGTTAACTTAATCATCTATTAATTTATTTACCACTTGAAATCAGCAAATACAAGTATAATTAAAGGATTCCTAATATATTCATAGACGTAGCTATTTAAAAGTCTCAAGCCATAATATTCTTTCTACACAAACAGTTTATCACTATTTGGTAGAGCAAGGTCAACTATCAACTTTGACACATTTTTCGATGATCTCACTGGGTGACATGCACTGTTTCTCTTTGGATCTCAACATTTTCCTGCCAGACGGCCCAAACCTAGTGTTTTGGCAATAGTTTGGCGTGCAAAGGTATGACGTCACTATTTCAACCATCAACAAATGCGTGGAAGTAAGAAAAAGCTTAATATAAAGGAAAAACTAGAGAGGTGTCGGAATTACCCACGATGTCGGAATATACCGCGTTTACCCTACCTCAATATAAATTAAAGACTGCCACTCAATATAGGTATTTAAATATATGAACAAATTAAAAAAAATCATGATTTTTCATAAAAATCAAGTGATTTAATCACATGATTTAATCATTGCCAACCCTGTTGCAGAGCATAGTAATATAAGTAGTAATTGATTTATTTTCTTGATTGAACTGATAGGAGAAAATCAGGGGAAAATGGGATTCTTCACTCAGTCACTATTGCCTCAGATTAATAATACGCACCTCATACAAATAGGGGGTACAAGCATAACAGATCCTCGTGTGCGAGTGGAGATGGCTAGCCGCTAGCGTAAGAGAACCTCTTTCGTGAGTGATGATGACAACAGTAAAAAATCTCTTGCATGAGTTGGAGATTGTAAGGAGACCAATGGGTATGGAGAGACTAGAGTGGCCTGTGGCCTTTCCAGCCCATGGTTGTGTTGCCCATACTTGTATTTACTTGATCCACAAGATGACTGCTGACTCAGCAATTTGTTTGCCAAACTGTGCACAGATCTCTTCCTGTCACTACTCTGTGTGGTACCACACTTCAACTACCTACCCTGACTTGCCATAATACAATATTGATAACTTTGATATTTATCATTGTGATATGTGACCATGCATTGCATAGTAATACCATCTGCAATGTGTTTACATTGCAGAGGTATGCTAATTTGTCAACAAAATTTTAAAGCTAACACCTGCCTGCAAGTTTTCTTCCTGAGAAATTTTTTAATAAACTGAATATTTTTTATGCTAAAGATTTTGCAGAAGTAGGTATTTTACAAAAAGGAAAAACATGGAAGTTTATACCACTACTTTTAGTTTTGCAACATTTCAATTAGTTTCAATGTTATAACATTTGACAAAGGACTGTCCTGATTTAAGACAAGGTTGTTGTAAATGCTCAATGGCATGTTCATGGATACATCACATCAAACATCAATAATAAAGTAATATCGCATCAATAATATGGTACTGTCATACCGTCAACTGGGGTGACTTCTCTGTGTTTTCGATTTTGTTTTGCAAACAAAGGCGGGGTCATAAACGATGGCCAAAGTCACTCTGGCGTTTATGACCTTGTTTACGACCCTGGCGTTTATAACCCAAGAAAGTGTCATAGTTTGCAAATGGGGGGCGCCGCGCCATAATGAGGGAAATGTGACTACCTAAAGGCAGCCCTGACGGGGTAATATTGACTGGCTTGGAAATTAAGATAAAATTACCATATGTAAGACTCTGTAGAGTCTGAAACATAAAGAAAAAAACATAAATAGGCTGTCAAACATAAAATATGTTATATATGGTAATTTTATATTAACTTCCAAGCCGGTCTATGTTACCCCGTCAGGGCTGATATTAGGTGGTCTAAGTTACCCCATTTGGGAGTGGCGCCCCCCATTTGCAAACTGAAACTTTCCTAAAATTTGTCATTTGCATATGTAACTAGAAGAGTTCTACTACAATGCATCAAAACCTGGATTTATTTGACCAAAAATTAAAAAAAATTGAAGGGGGTACTCTGACAGGCTTTAAATCATAGCTTTTTTTCGTGGGTCACATTTTTAATTTTTTAACCTATTAGATATGCAAACTTTTTATATCTTTCTATTGTGTTATGTAGCCTCAGTATTAGGCCTTTAATGCCCTTTGACAAAATTTTTCTATGTCAAATAGTTTTTGAGTTTTGGGGGTGTTTGTTAAAAAAACGAAAAGTGGTCTAAGTTATCCCGCCGGTCTAAGTTACCCATTTTACAGTACAATAATAATGCTGGAAGATCATTTATGTTCAAAATTCATTTACTTCAGAAACAATTACCAGTTTTTAAGGGCCATATTTGGTTTACTGTTTTTAGTGCATTTTCTCATTTATGGAAAAAATGCACTATTGTGCTCGCCATGTCCATCTGTCTGTCCGTGACTTCACGTTTTTTTTTTTACAAGAAAATGTGCCCTCTGTCACTCTTTGCAGTGACTACTGAGTTATGTATTTTTTTCATATTCATAACTGCTGGGCTTTTTTCAGGCACATTGCTACGTGCCATACACTGCCTGCAGACCCGAGCGTGTGAGAGATGTTTTACGCACAGTTTGTGCTGGCCAAGAAGGGTCCTCTTGCAAGGATCTGGCTGGCCGCTCACTGGGACAAGAAGCTCACCAAAGCCCACGTCTTTGAGACCAACATTGAGAAATCTGTTGATGGTATACTGCAGCCCAAGGTAATTACTTGTGTAATTCTCATGGTATTCTGCAGCCGAAGGTAATTCTTCACATTATCCTCATGGTATTCCTCATGTTATTCTCATGGTATTCTGCAGCCCAAGGTAATTCCTCATGTTATTCTCATGGTATTCTTTGTGTTATTCTCATGGTATTCTTTGTGTTATTCTCATGGTATTCTTTGTTTTATTCTCACTGTTTTCTGCAGCCCAATGTAATTCTTCATGTTATTCTCATGGTAAACTGTAGGGCAAGGTAATTATTCATATTTTTTTGCATTACTAAATGACAAGTTAATTCAAAACCATTGTGAATAGGTATTCTGATTGGTTGATGTGCTTGAAGTTTAACCTTATTTGAAGCCTTAATTTTAATTCTCAACCGTGGACAGAAAATTTACTGCCTAAAAAGGTAAGTACTGAATGGCAATGTATACTAAAATCTAGACTCTAGATATAAATTTCTACAATAATGAAATAAATGAAATGGGCTTATGTTTCCCTTCAATGTGAATGTGTATAATTTTTTATTTATTGAAATGTAAATTTATATGACTTTTGTTTACCCTGAATTTCATTACAGGTAAAAATGGCACTGCGCACATCAGGCCACTTGTTGCTGGGCGTTGTGAGGATTTACTCTCGCAAGGCCAAGTATTTGCTCGCCGACTGCAATGAAGCTTTTGTCAAAATAAAGATGGCCTTCAGGCCAGGCATGGTGGACCTCCCTGAAGAGGTCAGAGAAGCTGCTGTCAGCGCCATCACCTTGCCAGAAGTCTTCCATGACTTTGACACTCCCATAGCTGACCTCAATGATGTCGACATCCAAGCTCAGTTCACGCTCAACCAGTCCCGGGCCGAGGAGATCACCATGAGGGAGGATTATGCAAACATTTCCCTGGCGTCGGCGGAGGAAGGGTTTGGTGATATGGGTTTTGAGGAGCCTCCTGAGCTCATGAGAGCTGCCAGTATGGGGCAAAGTTTGGAGCATCAGAGTCTCATGTTTGGTGAGACATCAGGTCTGGAGAAGGAGAAGGGGGAACCATCCACTTCTAAAATAGAAGATTCACACTTGGGGGGCAGCCGAGTGGGCGCCGCAGCACTTGATCTTGAAGCGCCAATTAGGGACGATGGATTTGGTGGCAACTTGGGCCAAGACATGATTCCTGGAGGCTTATTTGAAGGGGGATTGTTTGACGACACTCCCATGGTTGATGATGGTCCTAGTCTAGACGCGAGTGGCATACAGGATGGAGACCTGGCCCTGCAGCCCATGGATATAGACAGACCCACGGACGCTCTCTCTCAGCAGATCGGAGCGTCCGCCCCTGATGACGTCAAGACTGAAGACTCTGATGACGATGGCGGTGACATGGACAGATTTGGCGGCCCTCCATCCGTAAGTCCTCCCAGTTCAGAGAACGGATCACGTCCCACATCCCCTGTCCCTGCCTCAACAGATATGCCACCGCCAGCAGCTCCTGCTGACGAAGGTGTTGCAGGGGCGGGTGCAGACGATCACGACGCCACTGCAGCACAGGAGCAAACGACGCTGCTGCAAAACGAAGAGGAGAGCTTTGCCCTCGCCCCTGTTGATGCCTCGGCTATAAGGCACGGCTGGCCAAGAGCCAAACGCAAGAGGAAGCTCATCGTTGACGAGGTCAAGAATATCTCCGGGGAAGAGATGAAGGCGCAGCTCTCAGACACCACGGATATCGTCAACACTCTCGACCTGGCGCCGCCCACAAAGAGACTCATGCACTGGAAGGAAACGGGTAATGTCCTTGATGTATTCGCTAGTCCATTGATCTGAATAATGTGTCCTTGTGGTGTAAGGAATCTACTAGATTGTATATATGTAATTGATATCATTGATATATGTAACGTGCTTATAGTAGCCTTATTGAATGGGGCTATAGGACTAAGAATGTAACGCTGAATTATTGATGGTGTATTAAATTTTAAGGTTTAGTTTGAGTGAACAAATTAACTTAAGCTTTATGTTGAAGGAAGAGCTGTGGTAGAACCATCACTGGTGCGGCTCTCAAAACATTAGTTCCACTTAATAAACTAAGAACCAAAACGCCCAAATTTACTTCTATGTTTGTTTTTCATTCATTTATTCATCAAGGTCATCATGTATTGAATATATAAAGACTCTCACTTTTCCACTCTCACTTCGCTTATCAGTAGGCAATGCAATTAATTTTACTACATTTATTGCATCATTGTCACTTGGAGTTCTTTTCTAAAATCTCAAGTACGTATTGCATGCCCTATATTATAACTAAAGCTCATTATATTTATTGTACAGGTGGAGTAGAGAAATTGTTTGCCTTGCCTGGCCGCACGATCCACGCAAGAGCGATGGCAAAGATGTACCAACGACACCTCACGTCCGAGGCCACGCAGAACGAAGACTTCGGCATGGCTGGAGACAAGGAGCTGGAGAACCTCAGCCTGGAGCAGGTATGACTGGAGAACATCAGCCTGGAACAGGTATGGCTGGATAACCTTAGCCTGGAGCAGGCATGGCTGGATAACCTTAGCCTGGAGCAGATGGGGCTAGGTTATCTTCCATATTCTAGAATTTCAGACCGAATTCCAAGGTAGCTTAAGTCAATACCACGCACCTTACGGCGTTAGCGATCCTAACCGTCAGCAGGCAATGCTTTATTAGCGCACGTTTAGTTTAGCTTCTAAATCGAATGTAAAATTAGTGCTCTGTAATAATAATGTTGATAATAATAATAATTATGAACTGGTGGATTATAGATAACGTGTGTGATGCTTGTGTTAGGTGCGTGACGCGGACGACCTCGAGGGGGAGAAAGCGCCCCCCAAGACGCGGGGGCGGCCCGCCAAGCGCAAACAGCCCGACCACCACGAGGACGAACCCAAGGAGGTGAGTGGCGCCTAATGCTCATCATTTTTTAATACAAATCATGGATAATTATTATATAATTTTCCGGCCTTCAGATCATAAGGTTCACAACTTGCGAACAATGATCATCGATGATGAGTAATTGTTATTGTCTCCATGACTAACGTCATAATCACACTATTTATTATTTGTATCATGTGTGTTTATGTGAGAGTTCAATGGCGGAGTCAAGGGTGGTGGTAATGTCTTATATTTGTGGCTGGTGTTTAATTTAATGAAAGTACAGTTTTCTTTGGTGTTGCTTTGCAAGTGGTTGCTATTCTATGACTTATGATTGTCAGTTGTCAAATATATCACTGCAAATTATTTTTTTGTTGTGAGCAGGAGTTGTTCAGTTGCGAGCGAGATGAACGCCAGTTATTATTTTGTGTGATGAATTTGTTGAAGGAAACTTTTAAGATTATTTAGTTGCGAGAACTCTTCATTGTTTGGTTGAACGTTACTTTGTTATTTGTATGTATTAGTTAAACGATTTTTGGTTGTTAGCTACTTCGTTATTGGTGTTAACTAAAGATTGTCTTTGTTAATTGCTACCTAAGTAATATATTCTGATCCATTAATGTTAGCATTAGCTTAACAAACACAATAATATGTAAATAGGTTTCATTAATGTTAGCATTAGCTTAACACTTTATTAGATTATAATATATAAGTAGGCTATTATTAATTATACTCAAATGGTGCAGCAGACAACGCGCAGCCGTCGAAGCCGCCATAGCGAGCTGGACGACATGGACCACCACATGGACGATGGCCTCATGTCGCCCCCGCCCCCCGCCACCCCTGCACCGCCCCCTCTACCCTCCTGCGGCGACCCCAACACCCCCGCACTCCCCAGACCTTCCGTCGAGGAGAGCTTCGATCAGGTCTGGCTAGGGTCTTATTGTTAGATATATGTGTTGCTAGGGTCTGGTGGTGGTGCTAAGGGCTGGTGTTGCTAGGGTCTGGTGGTGCTAGGGTCTGGTGGTGCTAAGGGCTGGTGGTGCTAGGGTCTGGTGATGCTAGGGTCTAGTGGTGCTAGGGTCTGGTGGTGCTAGGGTCTGGTGGTGCTAGATGGTGCTAGGGTCTCGTGGTGCTAGGGTCTCGTGGTGCTAGGGTCTGCTGGTGCCAAGTTCTGGTCTAGGGTCTGGTGGTGCTATAAGCTTTTCCTCTATTGGAATAAGATTAGACCCGTGCCTTTTTATCGCTGTGCATCATTCAATTCAAAACAGGGCCAATGAACCAACGGATATTCAGCACTTGTGGGAGCATCAGACTGCACATTTATTCATCTACATTTTTCATAGTACCGTAAATACATTCTATTTGTTTATTTATCATGAGAATAGATGATAATTATATGCCTGATGTTGCAGCTGGTGGCTGATCACCAGGCGTCAGCTGACCACCTACAGCCGGCTGCTGCTGACGCTCCTGACGACGACGTAGAGGCACTTCCTGACGCCCTGCCCTCCGAGGATCAGCCCCCAGCGCCCCTCGCTGATGCAGGGGGCCCGCCCCTCGACGAGGAGACGCCCATGGACGTGGACGCTGACCCCTCACTGGTCCCCCATCAGGAGATGCCCAATAACACTCTGGTATTGGCGCCTTAATTTAATCCAGAAAGTCGATTTTATCCTAGTTTAGGAGAAGAAAAAATGGCAGCAAGACTTCACCTAAACTAAGTAATGTATTATGATTGTGAAGTATTAAAATCATTTGCGCGCTTTGAGTGCATTTTTGCGACAAGCATCGAACTGGAGGAAGGTACAGTTGTTTATTTCATTGTTGTTGAAAATATGGCAACGTGATTGTTAACGAGGTAGTGGAACCCTGCCTTATAATTACCAGGTTGTTTGTTATTAATATTATTGTACTTCATTCCTAATATCATTACTATCATGTTTACTTTGTTCAGGGCGCAGACTCTGCCATCATGGAAGCCATGATGCCTCATCAGCCACAGATGCATCAGCCACAGCCGCCCCCACTGTCTGCTCCAGACATACCCTTCTCCCCACCCCCCTCTTCCCCACATCCCGAAGAGGTCTGCATTCCCCTCTTTTATTATTTATATTATTTATGTATTTTATTTCTCATGTATTTTTTTATTTGTCATTTTATATATTTTCTTATACGTAACTGCCATCACAACCTGACCCAAAAACCAAGTGTTGCTTTAAGCACAACAAGAAGCGCGCAACTGTACCCATATCTGTACAGTACAGACATGTGTAGAATACCAAGCTACTATTTGCATGTATACAACAAAGTATGTTTTAAATGAATAAATGTACATGAACAATTTTATGATAGTTTATGAGTTATAAATATAAATAGTTCCTCATAAACAAGTTTATGATAGTTTATGAGGAACGAGCTGCTGATCAGACGTAGAAAGAGTTCAAGGAAGGTGCTTCTATATATTTTATTTATTCAGTGCCAAGTTACTTTCAGCTTGTATGTAACACATGTGTAAGTTATGTGGTCACATTAGCTTGTATGTAACTCAGAGGTGTAAGTTATGTGGTGACATTAGCTTGTATGTAACTCAGAGGTGTAAGTTATGTGGTGACATTAGCTTGTATGCTAGTTATGTGGTGAAATTAGCTTGTATGTAACACAGATGTGTAAGTCATGTGGTGACATTAACTTGTATGCTACACAGAGGTGTAAATTATGAAGTGACACACAAAATAAAAATTGTGATTGTATTGCAGGAACAAGCTGACGACGAGACGTACGAGGAGTTCGAGGAGCGCGTCGTGAACAAGCGCGCGGCGCACACCTTCCGCCAGATCAAGAAGACGCTCAGGACGGAGACCATCGAGTTCTCGCAAATGTCCAGGGGGCACAACCGCAAGCAGGTCATTTCTTGGGATCTTTTATTCACCTCTCATTTGTCTGTGGATGCATTAACCGTCGTCAATGCTATTTGTACCTAAAGCCTTGGTGACAAGCATTGCCGGCAGTAACCGGAGGGTTGGGTAACGGGGTAATTTAATTGGGTATAATTCCCAATATTTCGTGGGTGGCGTAAGCCGTTCACTTTTTTTAGATTTCCCAACGACAGAAAACTTTTAATTGATCAATACGTTTTATGTGTTCATTTATATACCTGACAATACCATAAGAAATTGATGGAATTCTAGATGAAATAGTATTTCCATGTCCGAATGTAGTAAAAATATTGCTAGTCAAATCATGTCATCGTCACTCAATTTCAGCTCCAGTTTCAAATTGACATTAATAAAGAATTTGCAAGAAGTACATCTTCTTTGAACTCTCGAAAGTTGTAGCACGATCAGTGGACTGGTGGCATGTAAGCTTCAGACCATTATTTGGGACCATGATTTAGTCTGTTAATTTAATCATAATTTCATGACTATATTAATTATGTTTTATTATTGTTTAGTGTCGATGTTGACTAAGTTTGATCACTATTTAATGACTATTTTGACAAAGTTTTATAATTATTTAGTATCGATGTTGGCTAAGTTTGATGATTATTTAATGACGAAGTTGACTACCGCAGGTGGCGCGCAACTTCTACACGATGTTGGTGCTGAAGAAGTTGCAGGCCGTAGAGTTGCAGCAGCAGGGATGTTACCAGGAGCTCTACATCACCAGGGGCGCGCTCTTCGAGAAGGCTAAGATATAGGCTGCTATATCTGTACCTTGTATCATATTCACTCCATTACGGTGTCTGTACTCATAGATATTTGTCCTTATATAGATGATTTGACCAGACTAATTTGTACTTATATGATAAATGATGGTTAGTAATATAGCATATTTCCAGCTTATATAATAAAACCACAACTTGAGTTGTATTGTTTGTTGTTCGTCGCAACTACAAACACGAATGAATTCCGGTCATTTTAGTCCATTATTTTAAGCAAACTTTTGCTTAATTCCCGAAATTCTCCGCACCAGAAATTGTCGCTTTTAAAAATTGTTGCTTTTTTAGCGGCGAGTTGTTCACCTTTTTAGGTGGCGACTTTAGTGGAGGTGAGGCAATTGATTGGGTGGAGTGATCAATTGGGGTACGTATGGTGATTGTTGCATTAATAGGCGTAGTTTTCCATTAGGTTGCTCTTTTTGATGGTCAATGGAGATTGTGTGATGACACTAAAGGACGTGGAGTTTTACGTTGGCGTGTTTATTGAAGTGTTCAATAGAGGTGAGGTTGAAGAATAAAAAGAATTCCATATAGAGCGTTCCGTTGTGGTTTTTCATCTGATGGAAATGGACTAGAAATTTTTCATGAATTTCTTTATCTAGACTTGTTTATTTATTTTTATCGTCTACTCTTGTGGCTTTTATTCAATTGTTGATGCGTGCTTGTGCACTGAAACTCGTGTGATGTATGCACCAATACAGACCATACAAGTGTAACACAGACTACACAGGCCCTGAGTTTGTGATCCAGAATATGGTGCAAGTCTACACATATTTCCTCCTGCATAATAATTCCTGTAACAATTTACATAATTCATGTTAATAGTTTGGTGACTCGCGTGTGTGTGATGTCTTGATGCGTTTTCTGTATCCAATCTAGAGCATTCATTCCATATTCCTGCGATGCTCGGAGGTTTTTTTTTTTTTGTTTGATTGCCAGTCAAATTTATTGGTATGTTGATGGATTAAAATTGAATGTGCGTCATTGCTGTTACAATTGATGTATCATGGTTTTTATTGGTAATTAGGCTCGAGTTATTGATTGGTTGATGTAATAGGAAAAGGATTCAGTCGAAGATGTGAGACGTACGTATTCCGAATCTACTGCTGCAGTTTCCTGTTGTGGTCTTGCTCTTTATCTTCAGAGTAGATTTCTTCATGATGTGAAATGTATTTGTTCGCCTGCTCATTGGAATCAATATGGTTTGTAGGACGAACAGAGTTTTCTATCAAGGTTTTTAGTTGAGGCTTTGTGCTTCGGTGCGATTATTCAGTTCCAGAAATTGTTGTATTCAATTTTTTTACTCAATTGCATAATTTTCGCTTGAAAATTTAGAACAATTAAAATGATTTAGAATCGTGTTTTATGGATAATTAAATCGTTCATTATTACTCTCTATATTATCCAATACTTCATTTTTATTTGCTGCTTTCATGTCTGTCCTTGTATATTTTTAGCTCAATCAATTGATTGAAATTTGTGTGAATTTTGTTTCAATTAGAAAGCTATTTTGTGTGTTTTTATGATTTGCTGAGGATTGTGTGCGAACAATCGTGTATATTCGCTGCAACTTAGTGTTTTTGTTGAAGTTATTTTGTATTGTGAAAAAAATTTTGTGTTGATGTACTAAGCACTGCTGCGTTGCGTGCCCTCAGCTACCCTCTTGGAGAGTAATTTTTTTAACCCAGCCAATTATTCTCGCGGTAAAATACTTATACCGGCCTTTCAAGTGGGTAAGAAAAAATAACTTTAGGAGCCTCTCAGCTCTTAAGTAGTTACATAGCAGCGGATTTCTTTAATGCTTGATGCCCTAAAAGTTTACAATTACGTTAAAAGTTTACAATTGAACTTCTCGTAAAATTACAAGGTTAATATAAGTCAATTAATTTCTGTGGATAAATTGAATTTGGGGTCTTCAACCATGAATTGTGAGCATAAATTAAAAATTTGAACACAATTTAAATTGTACAAGACCTTAAAAATATTAAGCAAATATATACTCTACGCTGACGGAAATGAAGCCTGAGCGCCCCAAGACAACAAACAGCTTATGCTGTTCACACGTACCTGTTCCCTCTAGACTTAATGTGATAATAATAGAAACGTTCTTGTAAATAAGTTTAGAACTTAAGTCTAGCGTTTTTATCTCCAACGGTCACTGAAAATTTTGAATGCTTTACTTACGGTGACTCGGAAACTTGAACACCCAGCAAAAGAATTTTCATAAGAATATGGGATAGTGTGAATACTGTTGATAATTATATACGTGTTTTTTCGAATGTTTAAATCAAGCTCATTCATTTCACATAAGATTTTGTCTATTAGGATTTTGTGAAATTTGCTATGCCTCTTCATACCTGACTCTTATCACAGCTGTTGTTTGTTGATTGTATTTCATCCCTTGATAACTATGCTGGTGTCAAAGTATTCGAATCTTCGTAGTGGTTATGCTAAATATTGTTTGTACAAAACATTGTTTGTCTTCTATCACTAAGCGATAATCTTAGATTAAACTCTCTAATCTCGGTAATTTTACTTGCTTGGCAGCTCCTAGCATAGAGTTCTATGTTAATTACTGTGTAGGTTTTCTACAACATTGTTCACCATCTATTGTATAGGCTTCAATTATGAACCATTACTGTGGGAAGGTAGAGCCAGAAAATTTCCGTCTCCCTAATTAACAATTTCCCTCATTTACTTAATTAAGAAAGACTGGCGTTGATGTAGGAAGCTTTATTTATGACGAACACAAGACGCCAGTTGGTGTCACTAATGGTAATAAATTTATAATAATTCGTTAAACCGTCGGGCCAGGGCAGTGAAGTGGCCGACATGTCCAACTTACCGCAACATTCGTACATGCCTGAGGAGAAGCTGTAAATTTTGTACATTCGTTCACATTTGTTTTCTGGAACACAGGAAATAAAACATGTTAATTTAAAAGAAATCTGATTCTCTGTACAGCTTCGTGGAATTATGGTTAACTTGGAGGAACTCTACTATGTTGGTATCATTGCAGTGATCTCATGGCTATCATTGCAGTGATCTCATGGCTATCATTGCAGTGATCTCATGGCCATCATTGCAGTGATCTCATGGCTATCATTGCACGCTTGCTGTACACTCACGCGGATGTTTATATGGAGTTTATTGAGAATAAAAGTGCAAGTTTGTGTTAAGTTTTTACTGAACCTCAGTGGTCGAGTATAACCTGTGCTGAAATTGGGTTCTATCGACCTTGTTGTGTATAAATAAAATTATTTGGTAACCTTCCAGGAAAATAGAGTATTTTGTTTCTAGAAAATAGTCCTTTTTATGTTATGATTACTTTATGAATAGTTTTTTTAATGCAGTAAATTTCATAACAAGGGATTGGGATTTTCTTATGACTTGAACTGTTTAGCTGTCGCGGTTTCATTAGTTTCTCAAACATTTAACGTAACTGTATTTTAATTTGGTTTTTTATTTTAATAAAATTTATAATTTCACCGAACAACGAACTATTTGTTGAACATTTGATATATTAAATTTTTCTGATGCAGGAGTATCTGGTTCATTGTGGGCGTTCATAGTGAATAAAAAGCTTTATTAAGGGCCGCACCTGGTGAAGATACACTCAAAGAAATGTACGAGACTTTGTCTTAGTATTGATGTACTTTTTGTCTTTGTGTGGGTCATCCTGACCCAGTTGGGCGTGGTAAAAGGGCGTTATCAGTGCTACGTCCGCTCTCTGCTCGTGTTGTAGGAGAGAAAGTCATTTTTTGGACACTGTGGCCCATCAATTTTCTGACTATAGCCCTGTGATGCATCTTATGACAAGTTAAGGACTTCTTAGTCCATGGTCAAGCTGATGCTCCACCTTCGTCGTCCTCCGTCTCCGAGTCGTCGCTAGGCATCGCCCCGCCCTCGGGTCCCGGATGTAACGTTGGACGTGTTCCGTCTATTTGCCCTCCTTTGGGCCAGCTGATGCAAGATGCAGTTACTTGTCGCTTGCTGACGGTAGTTTCCCATTACTGGACAATCCGGGATCTTTCTCAACCACTTGTCCAGTCGTCTCTTGAATGCTGCAAGGGTGAACTCCCCTCCTCTCAGCGCTTTTGGGAAGGCATTAAATAGCCTCGGTCCTACCACGGACAGTGATCCCTCACGAAGAGTCTGTACTCTGGCCGCGGCTCGGTTATTATATGGAGGAACCTTGCACAGTCTCCTCCCTCCTTTCGTTCTAAAACGTCACAATCTTGAATGTCACACTCTCAAAGTTGGGTGCCAGCCTGGTTATCATCTTCCAAGTGTACAGTATGATATGCCTTTCCCTTCTTCTCTCCAGTGACTACAGTCCCAAGTGTTTCAGCCTTCCCCAGTAGTTCAAGTTAAGCTCCCTCATGCCGCTGATCCTGTACGTGAAGGTCCGCTGCACTGCCTCTAGTTACCGCACAGCAGCACCCTCCTGTGTAGCATCTCTATCATTCATATTCAGTATTTATTGACGGATAAAATAATCATTAGTGAGTAAATGACCCCAAGGGAAGGCTGGTGCGAGACACTCCTGGTAACATGACATCCATACCATTCATACTCACGCAATTCTCTCGCTAGGATGGATGAAGTAATCCAAGCCCTTAGTGGTCCCAATTATTTCTCACCCTGAATACCAGTAATCCTACGCGCGGATTACCAAGGAATTAATTGTGGCGCCGCCAGCCTGAGGGATCACTGCGCTCCCTGGGACCCTGAGCAGACCGTGGGCAAAGGCAGACCGCGGGCAGTGGTAGACCATGAGGAGATAGTGAGTAGACTGAGCAGACTGTGGGCAGGTAACATGACGGGGAACGCCTGTCGGAGACCACCACTGCCGTGCATCGAATGGACTATCATGATCCCTTCCCTTAAGAACGTAGCCTATAACACTTATTGACTGTAACATTATCAGCCGCACGCCACCAGACAGATCACGTCCATTGAATTAGATCAATCAGCCCACAGGAAAGTAGCCTGACGTGGAATGGCCCACCATCGTCTGCCAATAGGCGAAAGAAAATTTGAACCACCCGGACGGAGCGCGCCGGAGCCGTCCGTATCTGTCCCGTGTGTCGAATCAGCCTACGGTCGAACGGCCACGCGTCGTACGACGATAAATTTTGGAACAGAACTATGCTATCTGAAACCTAACTCCAGATGCTGTGAGCTAAAATTTAAATAATTAAGCGAAGCTGCCGAAGTCGCTCGGCGAAGGTCGATAGATTTTGGAACATAACTATGCTTTCTGAAACCTAACCCCGGAAATGTGAGCTGTTGTGACCGTCTATTGGTGCACGGCAGGATGCATGCAGTTCCACTGGCGAGCTGGGCTGGTTGATCGCGGTCCGTTGTCCGCAAGTTACAGTTCGAGCTAAAGTCAGGGCATGATTGAACTAGTATAAGGTTGACCCATGAGATGCCCATTTTTGCGGATGTGGTTATATAGTTCAACCATGAGTCAGGGTATGAAGTGATGATTCGCTGCAACGTTTAGTGGTGGACAACCATTACTCTCTGGGCTATTCGCTTCAGAATATGGTGGCGTAAAGCTCCTGATATTTAAAGCAAGATGATGTCATGGGGTGGTTACTAACGGCAGGGTAAATACGCGGTTGATAGGTGGTCATCCGGAAATGTCCTAGGCTTTCCTTTCAGGGCTGATTGACGCACAAATTTGGTGGTGCACGGCTGCGTACGCACATGACGCTGTAGCGTGCAGGTCACATGACGCTATAGCGTGCAGGTCACATGACGCTATAGCGTGCAGGTCACATGATGCTGTAGCGTGCAGGTCAAATGATGCTATAGCGTGCAGGTCACATGATGCTATAGCGTGCAGGTCACATGACGGTATAGCGTGCAGGTCACATGACGGTATAGCGTGCAGGTCACATGAACTTTTGTATATGTAACTAGAAGAGTTCTACTACAATGCACCACAACCTGGAGTTATTTGGAGTTATTTTACCAAAAAATAAAATTGATTTTACCACCTGGTCAAAGAAACCCCAAGAGCTGGGGTAACAAAGACCATCACTTTTTTTGAAATTACATCAAGACTATGAGAGGCAGGAGCCATCAATTTATGGTGAGTAAAGCTAGAGTATAGACCTGTATTTTGCATGTTTCAATTTAAGAATAACTTATCTAGTAAAAAAATGGCATCATTTTGAAAAAGAAAAGTGGTCAAAGTTACCCATTTTACGGTAGGTATCTAGTATCTACTTGTGATCCAGATTAGAAGAAATCTACTTATTAATGGAATATTGCAGCTCTGTATTTTCATTTGGTGGGAGTACAAAATGTTGCAGCTCCAAAGTCATACTTCTGTACAGTCAGAATTAGTTTTCCTAGCAAGTGAGTAATTCCATATATATATAATATTGAAGTTGCATATTTCAGTACCAGGCTTCAACAAAAATATTCTGCATGGTACCTGCAGACAATTTTTTTTTCAAAAATATTATATTTGCAATCATTAAAAAGTAATGCAAAAATATGTACGTATTATTTACAAATTGCCTCTTGAAGAGACAAAAAACTTTTTATTTTTACTTCTAGGATAAATCAAGACATAAAATACCAATACATCATTTACATGTCTTAAAAAATTATTCATGGCTTAGAAAATGAACTCACAGCTTGGATTTTATTTCTAAGGCTGCAACAAAATGGATAAACTTGTGTTTCCAAAAATCTAATTGCAGCTTGAACCATAGAAGTTTTCCAAAACAAGGCCTACAGGAAGGAAGGAGCAGCACATATGTGGCCCAGCACTACGCCAGCAGGACTCCTTACTTGGTGCAACTGGCTATAACAATTGATTAGAATAAAACTCTCAAAATTTCATTCAATAAATAAGCCTCATCAGATGGTAATCTGTGACAGTCTTGCAGGAGCTGCATGGTCCATTGACATTGTCACAAAAAAAAAATTCATTTTGCATGGCAAAATGTCTCAAAACCTTAATCGTTCGGAGTGTGAACAATGAATGTGAAATTCTCACTTTATAATCTACAATAACATTTCAATCCACTGTGCAGAGAGTGGATGAATATTGCAAGATCTTTGGCGACGCTTCAGTAGCAAAATTTACGCCTTCAGAAGATCTTGCCGACACATTTAGATTGTAATTCTTGCATTTAATATATTTGTCAATCNCAAAAAAATGTAAACAAAATGCAGTTGCAGTCACATTAGAGCAGTCAGACTGCATCATCACATGTTCAGTTGACACTTGCTGTACAATCGGACTATTTTAGGGTAAAATTAGTTATTTGGGGTAACACGTGCATGCAACCTTGTTAATAAGTTCATGGCATGTAAATAGTTTTTAATTACTCAGCATAAATGGCTTTTCATTAAAAATTACCCGGCAACACATTTTGAAAATGGTCAGCGACGATTTGGGCTTAAAAACCCATATATTAGTGACGCTGCATCCACCTTCTGCACCCTGGATTTCAATGCATATTAACTATGCAATCGTCAATGAAACGTTTTGGGTGTACTTGTTATTATGTTCTACTCTACAGGATATTTTAGTGGGAGCATTGAAGTATACTGCGGATTGTGGAAGTTGAAACTTTTATGAAACAACAAGTTTGCAAAGTGCAAACCACATTTTTTTCAATTAAACAAAAATGCATGACATTAGAGCAGCAAGATTTCATATCTACTGAAATTATATGATATTACTTAGTAGGGTAAACGCGGTATATTCCGACATCGTGGGTAAAGCTGTCACATCTCTAATTTTTCCTTTATATTAAGCTTTGTTTTAGTTCCATGCGCTCGTTGATGGTTGAAATGGTGATGTCATACATTTGCACATTTTGTCAAACTACTGCCAAAACACTAGGTCTTGGCCATCTAACGGGAAAATATTGAGATCCAAAGAGAGACAATGCACGCTACCCAGTGAGATCATCGAAAAATGTGTCAAATTTGACAGTTGACCTTGCTCTACCAAATAGTGAATAACTGTTTGTATAGGAAGAATATTATGGTTTGAGACTTTTAAATATGTCTGTGAATATATTATGAATCCTTCAAGTATACTTGTATTTGCTGATTTCAAGTGGTAAATAAATTAATAGATGATTAAGTTGAGAAATGGATTTAGACACATGAAAACTAATTCCGTCACAACTTGAATTGGACACACACAGATCGTTCCAAGCTATGTACAAAAATTAAAATTTGCTTAATTAAAAGCTTAATAGTTGTTAATTAAAAGCGTAATTAAGTAGTGTTCAATATTCATTAGTGTTCTAATTCAAAGCCGTGTTGTATTCCAATACAGCTCACACCAGTGTGGAATTCTGTATAGGTAATATATTCATGTTAACATGAGAAACTGTATCGAAAAACCTACCCTACCACGTTGCACCACCTTCCACTGCAGTGAAAATTGATAAACTGAGCGCATTACAAACTGCTACACTTCCAAAATCGCGCGCAGTTTGACATCCAATCCCGTGTTGGCAACGCCTCAACAACTTAACTAGTCATTTATCTGTAGGCTAGCGGACAAGTTTTTGCAATGAATATGTTCTAAAATAAAAAAAAAACACATCCACACTTGCAAAAAATTCTCAAGATTGGACAATACAAAAAAAGTTTTCGATATCACACAAAATTATGAGATGAACTGCCGTTTTTTCACTACGTACATTCACATCGAGCGTTCTATGTTTACGTATGAGAAGATGGTGTCACACGTGCTTTTGTTTTGGTTGCGTCTAGTTTGATTTTACAATAAATAGATTTGATTCACATTCCATACTGAGATTTAAATGATTGAAAGTTTTTTAAATTATAAAAACCCATTTATGCATTCCTGATTTGAATTTTTTCAATTTTTTTGCACTATTATGTTGAATTTATCTTATTAAATTCACTTTTAATTCTAAATGATTTTGTCTGCCATCCCGAGTTTTTGAACGTTTTGTGTTCCGAGAAAATGTACGTTGTTTAAAAAGGGAAACTATTTTGTTATATAAAACATAGAGCATGTACCATACCGTAAAATGGGGTAACTTAGACCGGCGGGGTAACTTAGACCACTTTTCGTTTTTTTAACAAAAACCCCCACAACTCAAAAACTATTTATGAGGCCTGGTAACTAGTGGACTGTGATGTATCATGAGGGCTGGTAACTAGTGGACTGTGATGTATCATGAGGCCTGGTGACTAGTGGACTGTGATGTATCGTGAGGCCTGGTAACTAGTGGTCTGTGATGTATCATGAGGCCTGGTAACTAGTGGACTGTCATGTATCATGAGGCCTGGTAACTAGTGGACTGTCATGTATCATGAGGCCTGATAACTAGTGGACTGTGATGTATCATGAGGCCTGGTAACTAGTGACTTAAGATAAAAATCTAATTTACTTGCTCCCGAAATTCTCCGAAAAAAGACGTCCCACAACATGAATCATTTACTTCATTCATAATGAGGTTGTCGAGCCATGAGAGTCCAGAATACATTCGTGTATATTTCACACATGAAAACAAGTTATGCACACAATCTCGGCTCCATTCAGGACTATTTAATTATTTCTTCTTCTCCATGTATTTTGCTAATTGAGGCAATTATCGTTATGATGCGTTAGCGAGATCATCAGGCAAAGGATGCATTTCTCTAGTCTTGGAATTAATTCCTGCTGCAATAACAACGAACATATTCCTGCGCGGTTAAGACTCGTGCAGAGCACGCAAACATTCAACAAGCTCGTAATTTACGCCTTTCAACGACGGTTTGCCGGTCTCGTCGTAATCACACGACATGTAAAGCTCCTCAAACGGCCGGTACAAAAACGCGTTCCTAACGCCACTACTCGCCGCCATCTTGTCTTTGTCCAGCTGCGGGAGCGGTGCCATCTTGTTGACATCCGTGGCCATCTTGTTGACATCCGACGCCATATTGCTTGCTTCATTGTTGGCGGTTGCCGTTTGGTTGATGAGCGGCAAACAGTTTGGTCCGACGGTGTTCAGTTGGAACACTGCCGGCTGAAACATGTTCACGTGCGAGTGAACTCCCTGAACAACAATGGGCTGTTCCAAGTGTCCGTGTTCGTCGATCTGCTCGGCATGAACATAACAAGCTTATAGTAAAGTAACTCAATCCTTAGCTTAACGCTCTTTATAGGTTAGCAAACGTGTCACTTTAAAAATTTTTATCTCGCCTGGATTTGCATCGCATATAAAATCCGTACATTTAAGGTAGAGCCCTTTAATATGATATGTTTGATTAAAAACATAGTCGTTTGCCATCAAAAGTTTATGAATTTAATTTCTCCAAGTTTCCCACAACCCGTAAAACAAACTAATAAAAATATAAGAATAATGCAAGAATAGAAGCACCTTAGTATTGGAGGCGACGGCGTGGGTGAGCGCGTGGGCGTAGAGGTTGAGGAGGGTGAGCGCGGTGAGCTGATGGGTGTTGAGGCCGGGGGTGTAGGGGGAGTACAGGCAGGGGGCGTTGTGGTGTATATGCACCGTGTGGGGGTGCACTGCACTGCTGCCTGCACAACAAATGCAGTCGTTAGCTTAAATGAAAACTACATCCAAAGGGAAATAAATGAGTCATGTTGTCCATTTAGTGACACTCTCTTACCCACAGCGCGAACACGGAGAGGGGATGTAGCGCAGTAGCGTCCTTCTGCCCGACCAAACGCAGCCAAAAAGAATGAAGCATCGTCCTGATCTGCATTAGCAGACTACCCCATGCCAGCAAACGTACCTAGCGACCATCCTGCCCCCACCGATATCAAGATCAAACAGGACGGACGCCCCCTTGAGTCTTATCCCTATAATGACATTACTCTAGTTAAATTGTCGTGGCTACCGCGCCAACTCAATGGACTTTCTGCAACTTCTCTATGATCTAAGGCAGGTCTACAGAGGAGCATGTTAGGACAATTTGTGTCTCAGCCTACATTCCGGTAGTGTCATTACCCACTCCCACGATCTGGAACAATTATATTCCTCCCCGGTACCCTCTTTCTGAATATGGTCTGGTGCAGCTCACCATCAAATTCTTCCCCCTATTAATCTCCCTGAACGTTGGAGATTTCAATGCAAGAAACCCAAATGGGGAAATAACTCGTGAAATAGTTTTAGTGGAGGCTGACCTTTGCCTTATATACACCGGAACAAGGCACGATTCTGAATCCAATTTAGAGAAACGTCGTTGCTGGACCTGTCCCTCTACTCCCCCGATATCGTCCTGGACTTAAAGTGGCGAATGATGAATGATCAGTATGGTAGTGACTATTTCCATGTCGACATGGACCATCATGTTGACATGGATCCCTCTTCTCTGAGCATTATACAGAAATGCACAGAGGGCACCCGCCGAGTGGTGCGGAAGTCGTTCGGTACTCGAGCACGCGAGACCGGTACCCGTCTGGTTCTTACAGTGCAGACTATACTATTAAATTCTCCAACAGCCCTAAATAGCTGCTCTCAAACCACAGTGTGCTCTGAATTCATGAAAGGAGGGAAAAATATTCACTCAACTGATGCTTTAAAATGACTGTTCCTTGACTACATTAATGCGTGCCACAGACGATGCTTGCACATCTACACCGGCGGCTCTGAAGATGAGACAGCAAGGTTGGATGGGCCGCTGCGTGCGATGTTGCGAGGAGCTCGCTGAAGCTGCAGGGCTACTCGTCAATATTTAATGCAAAACTACACGGCATTCCGTGTGCCTTTGACATAGCTGGAGAAAGCACAATAATGGAGTGCATTTTCAGTAACTCCCAGAGTGCTATCCGAGCCTTTCTTCTATACAATTTGCTGCATCCCCAAGTGGCCACCTTACTTAGGTGGCTTATCCGACTCTCCGCACGCCAAAAGACACCAACTTTCGGCTGGGTCCTTGGCTGTCCTGATAGCCGGCAATGAAATTGCACGTAACTTTTCGCGCAGTCCATCGGCTGGAGAGACGCCACATAACAATGATAGCCTTCCCCACTGGGGTCATTCCCATATTTTTCGCAAGAAACTGCTTAACAAGTGGCAATATCAGTGAAACTGGATTGAAAACAATGAACTGCGGAAAATTAAAGAGTGTACGGCTTTGGCCATCCTCGTTCCATCGCGTACGCCGAGTGGAGGTATGCCTCACTCGTCTCCGTATTGGGCAGACAAGAATTACTCACGGGAATTCCAATGTACTCGAGGAACGCGCGCCGATTCCTTATTGCATAGACTGCCTAGTGCCACAGATCGTGATCCACCTCCTCTGAGAGTGCCCATCTTTAGGAGATGCCTGACAGCAATTCTTTCCTCACCTACTCTGAGTTGACCCCAACCAACACATGAAAAGCATCCCCACCAGAGCGTAGAGTTTATAACGCCGACCTCCTCATAAATAACTGAGATCAATAAATATATTCAACAGTATTTGAACTAGCTAATTCAACCCCGATGGCCTTACCTAACATCTATCAACCCTATAAACCCGCGTCCAATCAAACCCCGACAACCCCACCTATTCCCCGTCAACCCTATCACGGCTGACACTCACAGTACGTGGTGGGGTGCAGGTTGTAGTTGTCCACCAAGGTGCTGCCGATGTAAGGCAGCATGGGGCCGATGTCGGGCAGCGGTCCGGTCAGAGGATCGGTCGGGGCTTCCACTCTCTGTTGTATTAATGCTCATTACCAATTAACATTACCAACGTAATTGTAATGTCTTTTATCATTACTAGTGATCACTAGAACGATAATATTAATTTATGATATTAAAGGAGATCACTAACAAATAGTAATGTTGATTAATTAATTATTCATCAATTGCTAACCCAATAACAACAGTTCATAGCCACCAACTTTTCTTTAATCAAATTTATAAGCAAAACATTCCTATACATTGTAATGAATTCATTCAATCTAATTTTTTAACAAGTTCTAATATTGAAATCAACTGGAATAATTCAATTTATCGAACATGTAGCAAAAGACATCAATATTTAAAATTTTCATCAACTCCAAAATAAAAAAAACTAAAAATTGTGTTATCTTTTATTCGCTTCTATTACACATTTCTGAAAATCTGTCTAGCCAGCTGTAGACAGATTTTCACTGTAACGTTAAATCTTATGTTAAGTTTAGTCAATTAATTAAATCAATTAAATTAATTTAATAAAGTTAATCTAAGTCAATTAAAATAAAATCGAATAAGCAAAGAATATTAATTTGTTTGTGAATTAAATAAATCAAATTTTCTTGCAAAATAAAACACATTGAATGTATAAAGCAAATGAAGATATTATTATCTATATTATTATTATTATTATCTCGGCGACATGAAGCACTTACGGTGCCCCGCCCCCGCGTGGGGGGCGCGGGGGGGAGGACGAGGCGGTCGCACGCACCCGCGGGGAGGACGGGGGGCAGGGGCGCCCCCCACACCCCCACCAGCAGGGGGGTCGTGAGCCTCACCTGCAGCAGCTCACCTATATTGATAATTTACTTATTATTTTTAAATTAATATTATTATACAAATTATTTATTATTCTTTTATGACTTATCCTTAATAATTTTTTTAATTCACTAATAAGTAATTCTGAAGAAAAACTTGACGTGAGATTTAAGCAATATTGGTTAATAAAATTCATTATTTTGAAACAAAACTTATTCTCAATCCTAGCATCAAATTATAAGATATTATTTCACAGGAAATGAACAGTCAGCAGCATACTGCAACAGACCAGCACTCATTACACAGACAACACACAGGGGCTGTTCAAGCACATATCCGTATTATGTCGGAAAATTACAGGCACCTAAATTTTATCCAGGTTATTCTCAAAGTAAAATTATAATGGCAATAGATTTTATACAGTTGGGCATGGATCCAGAATCCTTAACGTCTCAGATATATTAACTGCAGCTGAAAATTTATCTTCAGTGGCAGAATAAGAACGGATTGAACAAAGGGGAGGAAAGGATTGGATCAAGAAGAGAAATTATAGTTTGAAATGGTAATTAAAAGTTAATTTAAAGGTGCCAAATTGGTTTTATATTTTGAAATTTGGGGTAAAAAGGAGTTGTAATTTTTATGTTGAATGTGGCTTTAAAGGTGGTCTATGTATGTATTGTATACTAATCAATTACCTACCTATGCATTATAATTCAATAAGCATTATTATAATCAGAACCAAATATCAAAATTACCAGGATTTCAAAATCGCAGAGATTATGAAACTCAGGCAATGCCAGGCTAACCAGCAAGTTTACAATAAAAAAAGACAGGGAACAAACTTTTTCCTGGCCACAGGGATGCCGTGGGGCATGTCCACCCGTCGGGGCTTCTCAATGCGGTTGGGCAGCTCATAGTTCTCAGTGAGGGGCAGCGGGTCCATCACTCCGTCCAGTAGGTGAGATGACAAAATACATCTGCACAAGTAACAAGGCTCAATTACAACTCAAAAAGCTGATTGTATTAATTTTTCCATGAAATTTTCATTTAATTGGACAAATTTACCTTTATAAAAGCATCAAATAAGTCATTTCCATCCAAAGAGAAATCATTCTTAATTCAGTTAACTGCATCAAAATCAAATAAATAATTAGTACTAAATATTAACTCTCCCTACTGAAACTTTCAAATTAATCACAACTATATGAACATGAAATATGATTTCAAGTAAAATCTCTTTGAGACCAAAAAGTAATATTTTTCACTTCCACATTGTGAATGAATAACATTGAATGAAAATCAACCAATAAAATTTTGTTAAAAACGTACTCCTCTATTAGGCGCCTCTCAGCTGTTGTGAGCTGACGCTGGCGCTCAGTGATGGAGGCTGGCAGGCTGTCCACAATGACCGACCAGGACAGATGCTGCATGAGGTCTGTGCATTTGGACAGCAGTGGCAAGAAGTCCGAGTCCAAACGATACAAGGGCTCAAGACGTGGCTTTTCTTCTTTTATGGGTGGTGGGAAGTAGTCTTCATACCTTGAGAAATAGCAACAGTTTAGAAATGTAGAAATAATCATAGTGTTTCTTATTTTTAGGCATTTCAGAAAAATTCAAAAGGACACTTTCATTGGTAATTGTGGAAAATCATCTACATTACAATCATTTCTGCCCTATTTTGAAAAAATTTGCCTCATATTCCAGATTGGTCCTCTTGACTTTCAACTTGAGTAAAATTGCCTACTTCCATTAGCAAATTTCTACACCATTTCTGAAGTGACAGTTTTCAATTCATTGAAGTAGTTCAATTCAGCCTTAGCATTTATAGTACAGACTCAATATATATTAGCATATTATTTGGCATACCCCAGTAAAATGGAGTTAATTTGATATTTTGTTTTTATTACCTATCTTTTGAAATCTAAGTACGTATATGTACAGTATTTTAGTCAAAGGTAAATTATACTGAAAATGCATTTTTATTTGACTATTTATTTTATTATAGATATAATAATGAGACAATAATAATAGCACTGTTTCCAATGGAGGTAAAAATAAAGACAATTGCAAGCTATCAGAGAAAATCTGGGAGAAAAGTGAGACAAGAAGTCTTGAACAGAACAGCAGCTTAAAAATTTCCCAAAATATAATTTTTCAACATAAGATAACTGGACATTACAGAACATTCAAGCTAATCAATTTCAATTAGTAACAAATTTTCAGATTGGATAACAATGGACTAAAGATGCCATTATGCTTCTCCATATACTGCATTGCAATTTAAGATCAATATGGTCAATAAAAATTTATTGATATGGACTTTAAATATAGCACATGTTACATATGACAGAGGATTATAGAGACAGGCAGTAGACATCCAATTTAAGATCAAGATTGCTTGAAAAAAGCTTGAAACAATACCAATACCGTAAAATGGGGTTACTTTGACCGGCAGGGTAACTTTGACCACTTTTCGTTTTTTTAACAAAAACCCCCAAAAGTCAAAAATGATTTGACATAGAAAAAATTTGTCAATGGCCATCAAAGGCCTAATACTGAGGCTACGTAATACAATAGAAAGATTTAAAAAGTTTGCATATCTAATAGGTTAAAAAATTAATAATGTGACCCACGAAAAAGAGCTATTATTTAAAGCCTGTCAGAGTACCCCCTCCAATTTTTCTATTTTTTGGTAAAATAACTCCAGGTTTTGATGCATTGTAGTAGAACTCTTCTAGTTACATATGCAAAAGACAAACTTGATGAATGTGTTATAGTTTGCAAATGGGGGGCACCGCCCCATAATGGGGGAAATGTGACTACCAAATGGCAGCCCTGACAGGATAATATTGACTGGCTTGGAAATTAAGCTAAAATTACCATATATAAGACTCTGTATAGGTATGTGCACAAAAAAATTTTTTTTCTCCAATCGTAATGAAAATTGCACCACTAAAAGGAGAAAAAAATTCAGAAAAATATCATATAGGTATGAGTGGAGTGGGTCTAAAAGTGAAAAAATTATGAATTTTTTCTGTTATTCAATTTCGCACCCAAAATGGACCCATTTTTTGCATATTTTTTGGAAAAATCATCATTTGTAGGTTTTCTATGAGCCAATTTCAACGATTTTTGGACCATTTGAAAGCTCTTGTTGTAGGCTATATATTCTAAATAAAATACAACATTTGGTTGAGACTTTGACTACAGGTGGGTTGGGTAAAGGGGTGTGACTGACAGATATTAATGGTATAAATTCACCAAAAGGCAGAATTGAACCTAATAAATTCCAGTTTCATGATATTGGTACCAATAGCAAGCATAAAAAATGTAAGGTTTACATATCTATTGCAAGACAACATTAAAGTTAGATGGTTGGGAGAAGAGGGTTACAATATAAAATTAGCTAATATAAAAAAAATTATCTCTGCACAATTGAATAGAATTTCAACAGTAGCACTCTGTTGTTACTAACAATAACATTAACTATGGTTAAATGAGTGACAACGCCTACTTCGTTTAATGCCTTCACCATCATGGGTGCCCCAGTGACCGGGGGGAGGGAAGGAGTTGTACAGGCATCTGCCTGGGACTGGGTGAAGATCAAAAGTTCTGAGGAGAGGGTCCCACGACTGCTGCCGCACCCTGACCCACGGCCAATTGTTTGGGCGTTCCAACAGGTTGGTGTAGGAGTAGGCAACACGCACCCAGACTGCCAGAGTGACTTCAGAAGGCAACACGCACCTGGAGGACTTCAGACTGCAGTGATTGGTGACTGCTGCTGCGCTCGCGGCCACCCGGTCCAGAGCTCAGCTGAAATTATACAGAATTGTTAGTCACAATCACATGATAACAGTGCAATGAACATTGCATTGGTGACATACTATACAAATTATTGAAATACAATCTTACCTTAGGCAGTTTGGCCACTTCCATTCTGCCCCAGTGAGGGGTAGCCAACGGAGTCCAGCCTTGAGAGTTTTGCCCAGTTTCAGAGTTTGCCAACAGAGCCCAATGCTGGGCTGCTAGCTCAGTAACTGCTAAAGGCTTATCAGGCTTATATTTGCAGGGGGGGGGGGCTTCAAAATGCTCTCAGAGTAAGGAGATTACATCATATAATATCATAAATATGCCAATGTTATTTCCAATAATGCACTAGGAAGCTCCATCAGTGCCTCCTATGCCTATGACACATGGCACAGCTGTGCTACATCCCTTTCAATAAATGAGAAATAATTTGACTTCTACTTGCAGCTCCCTCGATTTAAGGTGATTTTCCATCTGACCCAACTTTGAGTTTATCTAAATGATGTTCTAACCACCTTTGACCTTGATCTCATTTATTTCACTTAAAAATTTTTTATTTTTACTCATAATTATTTGATCTGATCACCAGGCCTATTTGAAACCTTATAATTTATGGTCTATGAGCTTATTCTAATTATTCAATTAAATTATTCAAACAATGCAAAGAATAAAAATTTAAAAATGCACAACTTCATGATTATGGCTTGAAGGTTTAATCAATTATATGTGATTACGGACAACTTTACCTGTCTACCATACCAGCGATCTTGAATGAAGACTTAGACAAATTTGAAAGTAGTTGAAAATTGAGTTCTGTAGCTGCCTTCATGGGCTGCACTGGCACCCGCTGGACTGGGGCTGGGTCTCTGGCCTGTCTCTCCCAAATAATCCTGAAAAAATAAAAAGACATTTAAATCGGATCTGAAGAATAATTCCTGTGGATATACATTTCTATGGATGCTCTAGTCAGTCATGATTCAGAAATGGTATATTTGATCAACACATTAATTGAATTTTGCAATATTAATTTCAAGACCCACTGCACTAGCAAAACAAAATTGTAGAAATGGGAGCATGTTCATGCAACGCTTCTAGATAGGTAGATGATAAACTTAATGTTTTATTGTAAATAACAATTATTCACAAATTTACCAATCTAACCTATAATATTGCCATGTCGCTGCAAACGAGGTCTGCTGCCAATTCAAACATATCCATCTCATAGTCCACTGCCATGTCATAAGACTCGTTGTCCTTCCAGTATGCCACAGTGTACATGGTCTTGCCAGTCTTGGTATTTTGTCCCTTGATTTTTTCAAACTTTCCATGGTACACTACATTGATATTTTCTGTATTGTCATACCAGCAGTGCTTAATGAAGCGACCAATAACCCTGTGTTGGAGAAGTTCTGAGAGTGGTCCCTTCATTTCATCACTCATTGTAATGCCTATTTCTTGAAGTGCTGCGGGTATGTCATCCAAGGATGTTGTTTTCAACAATTTTTCAATCTTGTGCCGTACTTTCTTGTCTCTTAGTTGCTTCTTGATATTAATGCGTGAAGCAATCTCTGCAGATACAAGAGTCTGAGAAAGTCTTGATGTTTTTATCCTCTTTCGGCTCAGTGCAACAACACAAGCCATAAGTCGCTCTTTTTCTTGCTCCTCTAAACCATCAATGAATCCAATCGTTTTGTTTTTCACAGCTCTTAATTTACTTGAGCTGAACAATATGGATGCATGTGGAGATCTCTGCTTGAGAGAACTGATCATCCCCATCACTTGTTCTGCATCCATGTTGTGCAGGCAGGCGCTTTTTGTCTCTTCTTCAAGTTGGGCTGTAAGATTTGTGGCAAAATACTTGGCATACTGCCTGTCTAAGGTTTCTATCACCTTGTTCAGGCATTTTTGGATCATCTCTGAAATCTCCTCATTTGTCTGACACATGTCCAACTTCCAAGATTGTGGACAGCAGAGCATCATCCTGTAGAGTCTCTCCAAAAAAGTTGGTGTTAGATGTGAGCAGGGAGAGAGGATGTTGCAAGCAAATACGCATCCTCTCCAGCACTTTTCGTACAGCATTTATTGCCTGAATGTGGTTCAATTCAGAAGCACTGTCAACATAGAAGTTTTTCATCCATGGCCCAGTTAGTTTGAGGCCCACAAGAGCCAGCAGGCAAAGTTCTTTAATTGCAAATTGATTCAAAAAGTCTGCTGAAAGTGCATCACACAGGCCCCTTTCACTGCTAGACATGTGAGTATGCAGCATCTGTTTGAAAAGGGTGTAGTGCTTTATGAGGATTTTGCTGGTATGGAAAAGTATATGCAGGCGGTTGCCACGGTATCTTGGAATGATGCCCAGTGGTAGATTATTATCCTTCAGGAATGATATAAACCCTTGTGGGTTACCTTTGCCATCTTTGTAGCGCAGCTTGTTAAAAGCCAAGACAATTAAAGCTGCCATGCAGTCATTGCCAAATAGCTTACTTACTTGGCCTGATTCTAACTCTGCGTTCTGAAGTGCTGACCTACATGCAGTGGCAACAGAGTCCAGAGGATGCAAATGACAGTTAAGTTCATTCAATTTGGTGCCCCAAACTCTTTCAAGTAAAGATATTGTTTTATGGTTTACAGCAGCACGGTCAGACATGGTGTTACAAATATTTTGCACAATCTTAAACCTTGTCTCTTCGTAGGTGATGCCAAGATGCACACTGCTGTAGATAACAGCTAGATTATTAACAGAGTCAACAATATGATTGGCATAATCCTGTGCTGTGCCTCCTGGCAGTTGGTCAACTGCAATAACAAATGTGGCATCCTCACTTGTAAACCGAGAGTGAGGCCTTGGTGATTATTAGCAAAAGTTGCTGCCTGTATGTCAGAAAATAAACCAAGTTCAATTGCCATCCGCTCCACACTTGTTCTGCTGGGTGCTTCCATGCTCTTTCCCAGTCTGGCTGCCATAGAACTCATTAGCTTAGGGATGTTGTCGGTGGGCACGTTACATGTTAGCATGTCATAGATAATCAGGCGAACATTCCCTAAAAAGGTTTTTTCATCCCGCTTGTTGGCAATGTGTTGATTGCATTGATTACGCAGACTTGCCTCTAGCTCTTCTTTCTGTTGAAGAATAACCATGTTTTGGTTTTCATGGTATGTAACATCAGCCTTTAGTTCTTGAATCTGATGTCTGAATGAAAGCACTTCTAGCTGATGTTTTTCTCTTTCCTTTTCCTTTTCATTAAGAGCCTTTTTCTGGAAGAGAGCAATTTTTCTTATCCTTTTATTAGCCTCTATCAGCCGGCAAACTCTTTTACGCAGATTCTTCACTGTTGTTGGCTTGCTGCTCAGCTCGGACCTCATTATCTTCATCCTTTCATGGTAGACAGATTTCCTATGGGCAATATCAAGAGACAAGTCATGGCACCGCTTATGCAGAAGCCGCTTCCTTGGACTTTCTTCGCTTCTACGGAGTCACATACCAGTGCTCCCACCTACCAATGGTGTCCTTGGAGAGGCAGTTGAGGGCTGAGTGTTGGAGGCTGAGGTGGGGGAGAGGTGCTGGACTATTGTAGAAGGCTTTGTAGTTGTTTGTGCTGTAATTTCTTTAGATGCAGGCTCAGTATTAGTGAATGCAGATAGTTGAGCTGATGCAGTAGGAGTTAATGGCAAAGATTCATGAAAGGAGGTGGATGGCTCAGGTTGCAAAGTGTTTGTAACTATCACAGGTTCCAAACTGCAAATACTAAGAGGCTGATCACAAAATACTCGAAATTCTGCCAAAACATTTTCTTTACGACCTCCATAGGTCAATTTTCTGCAATTGTCATATTCTTTCATGAGAACATCCAATTCATACCTAGGCACATCCAACCCAAAGAACTTTTTGATCCAATCAATTGTTGGTTTGATGGACTTTCCATGTTCTAAGCAGAACCTGATAGCATGGCCTACACGTGGTATAATGTCAACATCAACAAGGTCAGACTCTGTGGGCTGATCATAATCACTGAGCACTGTCCAGGCTGGTCCAGTTCTGCCCCTGAATTTTCGACACTTGGTCCTCATCGCAGGCTAAATTTTTGTTTTCACAGAAAGAAAAAGCACAAAGTTGATAAGTGGAGAGAGCATTGACAGAATGACTCAATGAGATATCATAGGTTTGTTTGAACATTTGAATCTGGTAAGAAAAATATTAATTATAAATATAGATAATTTAATATTATTATTATAAACAAATTGCACTATAATTCAGCATAAATATAAGTAATATATTTGTATATATAATCCTAGGTATATATAATAATATTGTTAGTAGGCATTGGTATTGTCTCTTGGAAGAACAAATTGAAATTCCACCAGCCTAGCCCTAACCTAAGCCTTAACTTAAGGTAAGAGCCACTCAATATTAAATAATATATAAATATATATACAGAAGTATACTGTTTCAGTGTTTAGTATAGCACTGCCAATAGCAAATATCACTTGACCTACTAGTCATAGGATAGGTCATGCCATGATGATGATGATGGCAGTTTTACTTTACTTTAGTATAGAGAAATAAATAAAATTTATTAAATTGAAATCATGCATAATTAAAAATAACATTTTTCTAGGCCTAGCCCCTAGTCCCCTACTACAACTACTAGTACTACTCACAGTAACTTACCTAGCAGGTCAAGGCCTAGCCTAGGGCTAGGCCAGTGGCAGGGCTAGGCTGGCTTGGATAAGCAAGTAGACTAGGGCTCCAGGGGATTAGATGGCTGTGCAAGTAAACAGTTCCATGTAATAATGTCTTTGTAACAGTAAAATCATTTTGGTCAGTCAAACATATGCAAAAAACTCATAAACTTTGATATAGGAACCGAAATACCAAGCCAATGTGACTGTCGTATCATGGAGATTCACTGCCTCAAAGTAGTATAGTACCGCATCACGAACGCCATTTCGGATGTCATTCACAGGTCAGATCTCAAACCAAAAATCATCTTTTTTTTAGACCTCACCATCACTATTTGACGGTAGGCAGAGATTCTGACATGTTACAAGCATGTTCAAAGAACTTTTAGCATGCTCTGATAACATTTTGGTAAATTTAGTAATACGATATAACATTTTATTTTTAGCACAAAATGGCACCCTTTGTGAATGCCCACTAATTAAGTAAGCTACGCTGATTTCTAGAAAACTGAGATGGCGTCATCATAATTAAAGTTTTTTATGTTCGTTTCCAACCACGAGCCGCTCGAATAATGGTTCCGGTCGGACGGGACTTGCAGAACTGAATGTCTTCCGTGCGTGCTAACGAAAACTGCTGGTCCGCCATTTTGCTTGGTTTGTTGTGGTTCGTACGTCGTTTGTGCACATACCTACTCTGTAGAGTCTGAAACATGAAGAAAAAACATAAATAGGCTGTCAAACATAAAATATGTTATATATGGTAATTTTATATTAACTTTCAAGCCGGTCTATGTTACCCNCTGTCTATTATACACATCTAGATGAGTATAAGAGACAGGACCTAGTGCTTTTGCAGTATTTCGACACGCAAATGTATGACGTCACCATTTCAACCATCAATGAACGCATGGAACTAAAACAAAGCTTAATATAAAGGAAAAGCTGGAGAGGTGACGGAATTACCTACGATGTCAGAATATACCGCGTTTACCCTAATTTTTTAACCTATTAGATATGCAAACTTTTTAAATCTTTCCATTGTGTTATGTAGCCTCAGTATTAGGCCTCTAATGCCCATTGACAAAATTTTTCTATGTCAAATAGTTTTTGAGTTTTGGTTAAAAAAACGAAAAGTGGTCTAAGACTCTAAGTTACCCTGCCGGTCTAAGTTAGGGACCCCATTTTACGGTATTGTATTAAAAATTAAAATCATCAATATTTTTTTTAAATATCTGTAGTCTGTAGAGCAGTAGAGGATAATGAAAGTTTAATATTAACTAAAACTCTAAAGGTATAGGATTTTTAATTAAAAACTTTTAAAACAAGATCATATCATATGATAGGACTGTGACCTACCTAAATTTTACTTACTTTGGAGTTTCATAAGGCTTTGAGATGAATTCATCAGGAGACCAAACTTTAAATCCTTTAGAAGTAAGGAGATCTTTCTCGCCAGTGGACAAAACTTTTCGTTTACTTCCATGATGCCACAAAAATTTGGCCAACTTGATTTGATTGTGGCCGTCTTTCTTGCGGTTACGATAAACCCGTCGGTTAACAGCATTGAAAATAGCTGTTAAACGCATAATTCTCGCAAATATTTATACAATTTATCATGAAATTTTGAGGAAATTATTAGTAGTAATTTTTTACTCATTAACGTCACGGCTTTTTCTAGGTGCAAGAGTTACTTGCCTTCAATGCCTTGACATGTTACAAGTCAAACCGACTGACCACTGACCAGTGACCACATGAATGATGAAAGGTGTCCGGCACGAACAAGAACTACGCATTCCGGAATTGTCTGAAATTTGATCAAATATGATCAATCCGTTTTAGGTTTAACAATAATTCCAATTGTTTACAATCACTACAATGATATATTATCACCTAAAATAAATTCGAAACAATTTAATCGAAGGGTTTTTCGATGCAAATTCATTCAAGATTTAGAAACTGAGTTGCTGTATATGGTTCTTCATTCATATGCATCAGGGGTAATACGTCTCGGACAAATTTACGGCCGGACCCTCGGCCGGAGCTCAGAATTTCCATTCTTTTACCAACATTTCACATTCAAAATACATATTTAGGTTATTTTTTAATTTAAATTAATTGAAAAACTCCTCACAAAGTTATTATTTTGCGATAAGTTCCACATTAAGGTTATTTCGTAATTTGAATGAAGTTAAAAACTTATCGCAAAAGCGGACAAATATTTGGAAAAATCGCACATCATTTCTACGAGATTCCATGTGGTGCTGCGAATTCATCAACCTGGCTTTTTGTCATTAGCTAGCCTACAGATAAAATTTTTCGACAAATTTCGAATTCCAATAGTACTCCGTACCCCTGACTGCACCCCGTACCCTTGACTGCATCCCGTACCCCTGACTGCATCCCGTACCCCTGACTGCATCCCGTACCCCTGACTGCATCCCGTACCTCTGACTGCATCCCATTTTGCATTTTTTCCCCCGCCTTTTTTTTGACTGCAGATATGCAAAAGGCGGATTTTATATCCTGACTTTGTTGCGGAATCCATTAGATTATTTGTACGTTGTTGGAATTTGCAATGAATCAAAATGACCGAACTATTTAAATTTTATCTTTTGCATAAGAACATAATACAATCTGAGGTTGCGGAGCACGACAAATCATCAATTATACATCGTGTCCAGCGTACTGTTCTTCTGATGTAAAAAGCTATTTATATATACCTTAATTACTAGACGACCGTGTTAAGCTGATGGCCCTATTAATTGTTTCTCTTATTTATGAAATTTTCAACTATTATTATTATAAACTAAATTATTTATATCAAACTATAATAACTATTATTAACAACATTCTTGCGCTAAATTGTAGACTAAACTTGGTCGCCTCCACCTATGAAAGGATTAACTCGTCTCTTATGGTTTTCTTGTAAACTTTCGATACAATGCAATGTGGAAAAAGCTTTAACAATAAGTATAGTTTTGAAATGTTGTAATCTGGATACTGATAACCGAGCTCGTTTATGGTTCTGATTCATGCTTGGACCCGAAAACAATTGCAAAGATAATATCGAACCTGAAGTCTTACAATGTATTGTATTAGAAACCAAATTAAGCAAGCGAAGGCAATAATGAGAAAATAGAAGATGATATAAAACTGCATTTTACGTAAAACTGCACAATTATTTAATTACATGGGTTATATCATTGTTTATATTCAGATATATCATCATACGGTAAACTGTACCAATGGAAGTACGGTATACGGTACAGACAGAAATACGGTATATCGTACCATTGTAAATACTGCATGTATATTGATGCCGTATACTAATGGTAATACGGTGTATCGTACAATTGGAAATATTGCATACCGCAATATTTAGAAATATAGTATGCCCTACCAATAAAAAAGAGGTATATCATACCAATAGAAATGAGACATACAGCACCATCGAAAATACGGTTTAACGTACTATTGGATATAAGGTATATCGCACCATATCTCGCGGATTTTTGCGGCGTATTGTAAACAATGAACTCGAATTCGATGCAATCCCTCACATTGCTTATGCCTGCAAGTGCATACACCAATTCATTAAATTTTGTACACGAGAGTTTTGACCAAACATTCACATGGCATTGATGTACAATTAACTGTCGATGCGCGACGTTGAAAGTTTTGTTGAGACGTTGAAGCTCAATTTGGGACGTCAAAGTTCTATTCTGGATGTTACGAGTTTATTTGAGAGGTTAAAGGTCTATTAAAGAGGTTAGAAGTCTATATTTGGGACGTTGAAGGTCTATTTGTGGCGTTAAAGTTCTATTCTGGATGTTAAAAGTTTATTTGAGAGGTGATAGGTTTATTTAAGAGGTTAGAAATCTTTTTGGGACTTTGAAGGTCTATTTGGGACGTTGAAGGTTTATTCGGGCCGTTAAATGTACATTTGAGACCGTTAACGGTCCGCCGTTACCCGGGCCGCTCGCTGGCAAAGCGGGACACGGGCCCGAACCTGTTGTGCTCGTCGCCCGCACCTCGCCTGTAACGGGCAGTTTGTAGACGTCATTCCAGGGTAACGGGTTGTATGTTATTGGTATTTTATTATTATGTGTATTGCTAATATTATTATTATATTTTTCATTATTATTAATGTCATTTTTATTACCATTATTATGTTAGTTATATTAATGTACAAGTGCAGTTAAGTTATAACGCCTCCGATGCTTTCTATCCTACTTGGAATTAAAAAGAAACATTGGGTTTGTTATAAATGAGACGCAAATGTACGCTTAGCAGCACTGCGCGGCAACGAGAACTTCAGGGTCTAGGGGCAGCGAGCGTTAAGGTTGTTTTCGATACATCGCAACAGCGACGTTATCGTCACACGACCAGCGTATTATTATTCGTTTTCTGCATCAGTGTGGTGTGACACAGATTGAAATTAATCGCTAGTTGGGGGGGACATGTAGCGATGGTGTCATGGATGTGTCGAAGTGTGTGCGTGGGTGCGGCGCTTCAAAGAAAGCAGCACGCGTTTCTCATCAAGACGCAACAATTTCTTCTGCCAGCAGCTTTGAAGTGATTCGCCATGCTTCGTACTCACCTGAACTGGCTCCTACCAACTTTTGGCTCTTTACTACTTTGATAGACACTGGGGCGGGAGCTTATTCACGAGCCAAGCAGTGTTTTTCCGGAGGTCACAACAGACTCTTTAAGAAGCGTCGTGAATCATGGCGTCGGCGCTGTGAAAAATGCGGACGACTGCAGAAGGACTGCGTCGAGAAGTGATACAATTTTCATCGGTTTTGGGAAAGGGGTTAATGAGAGAAAAAATCGGAGGCGTTATAACTTGAATGCACCTCAGCAGTGTACCTCACATTCTATCAGAAATTTTTTTTATTTTTCACTTCCAGTCACAGCAAACGTCATTCCAACCTATATTTCTCTCCCGTAAAATGCCTATACAGCTGTACAATATAGGTGTCAATAGCTGACGACCCTTCTATCAATGTTCACCAAGAGACTACCATTACTCCCCCCGGGGGTGTGTGGGGGTAACTCACGAGGGGGTGAGGGGAGGACTCACTCACGAGGGGGTGAGGGGAGGACTCACTCACTCAGGAAGGGGTGAGGGGACTGGCTGGAGTTTGTTATCCTTGACGATACGGAAGCCGTTCTCATCCGCGATGTAGGATACTTGCACGAGCTTCCCTTCTGGTGACGTGTACCTGGTCAAGATGTTGAAATGCCATGAATAATAAACAATAAATGCCTTGAATGATGTTCCAACAACCCTCCATTACTAGGTGATAAAATTACAGAAGCCGCAATATGTTGTTCAGCTTTTGTTTGGTAAGCTAAATTTCAATTGCAAGAAATTTGACCACAATGCGACGCAGTCAATTTGGTCTTTCTAAACGAAGTATGGGCACTCTTCAACAGTTGGTCCGAATAACAGGCCATTCTTATAACCAATTGCTCAGTATAACCGGCCATTCTTATCACCAATTGGTCCGCATATAACCGGTTGGCTCCTACGTACAGCTTGGCCCTTGGCCGTCTCCTATAACCGGCTGTTGTTAATGCTAACAATCATTCATCCTTATAATCATAATCGATTCTATTATGCTCTTTTACTTCTGTTATCAATTGGCAGGTGGTTATATTACTCATAACATACAGTCCTTGGCAGGCAATATACAAATTATTATCATTTCAGTTATTAATCAGCATTATATTTATTATTTGCAGTTAATAAATAAAGATTACATGCGACTCACGAGTAGCTGCCGCGCACTCTGTTGACGCCGTCGTTGAAGGCAGCGCCCTGCTGCACGTGGTAGGAGCCGTCGCCCGTCGCGTACCTGACACGTATATCTTGATTATGAGGTATGATTATGACCTTGATTATGACTATGAGGTTGATTATGCATGACCTTGATTATGAGGTTGATTATGAGGTATCGTAGGTACACACGTACCTGCGATTATGAGCTTGACTTGAACACGAATAACATTTTTTTCTCGGCATAAGGTCAATGAACGGAACGACTATTTTTTTCACCTTTAATATTTCATGAATGATTTTCAATAAATTATGAGCTACAGATGCAACTACACATTGCGTTGTCCCATTTACAGAAGATTCTGCTTGGCACGTCCATACATCGGGACGCAATACTTTGAATAAACCATTGCAGCTCACAGAATGCCGCCCAAATAATCTGTTGACCCAATTAACCGAAAAACTGTCCTCCAGCCATACGTTTCCCACTTGCACGCCCCCTTCCAAAAACACGCTCTGCAGTCCCTGCCAGGGACCGCAGGCCCCTCTAATTAAGCCACCCCATTTATCCTCATAAACTCTGGGCTCCCACGGGCCTCGATCATCTACCCCCCACCTCAAGGCTCAGGTTGAGAACCGCGAACAGTCAGGCAGGCTCGGCTAGTGCCCAATGATATTCTATCACTACTTTGACTCATTAAAAATCCGCGTGTAAATGAAATATCAATCTGAAATTTTTGATGCTTATTCACTTACTTATTTGTAATTTTTCTACAGATACAAAAAATATGAAACACTTTGTACAACATAAGTTGATAGAAGGAAATTTTGGGCATCGATGTTCGTCTTACATGCAAGTCACCTAAATTTGTGAGACATTAGGATGTATAACTATTTATTCTCTATTCATCGATCAGTATTGAATACACATCTGAATCAACTCACGATTTGTAGATATTTGTCGTCAAAAACTATTTATATAAGAGCATACTCTCATATGGAGTGGAAATACCGCATACTAACTGCTCAAATGAAGGCCTTGTGGAAGGTATGATCGAGGGAAACAGACGTGACTTGCTCACATATGTCAGTCCGCGACAAGTGGTACGTAGGAGGAAAACTCAATGAGGGTTGAGGAATAATACGTGGTCAGTGCATGGTCGGCCCAGGCCAATTAGTTCTAGCCGGCCGCTGGCCATTCCTCGGCCACCCGAAAGCCGCCCGTAACCGCAAGAAAGGGGCTGGCTGGAATATCGCATTATAAAGACTACAAGCTCGAGGGTAGCGACTGGCCGAGATTAGGACCAATCGAGGATTTCACAGGATGGTCGCAAATACCTCGCTCTCGAATTTCGCCGCACTTTGACTATATACCAGTCGTAAGGCTTCGTTGCCTCTCTCGTTGGGGTTATTATTCAATGCCTCCGCAATCCCCATGTTCCCCCATAAGCCCTCCTCTCCCCTCTGCCCTCGCACCTGAAGGCGTAGTTGCCCCGCTCGTCGGGGTGAATTCTATCGTCGGCCAAGATCGGGACTTGCGTGGCTGGCCGCCGGCGCTGCTGAGGTGCCGCCGATACGGCGGCCAAAATGAACACGAGTGTCTGTAATTTATTTAAGAGCAAATAAAAGGAGCACGAGTTTCTGTAATTAATGGATGAGCTAATAAAATGAACACGAGTGTCTGTAATTAATGCATGGGCTAAGAAAATAAACACTAGAATCTGTAATTAATGCATGGTTTAAAAAAAAATGAACACGAGTGTCTGTAATTAATGCAAGTAATAAGGAAACAAAGTGAACACAGGTTTCATTAGTAATTAATGCGGGTAATAAGCTGACAAAATATCTCCAGTTATTTGTGCTAAATAAAACGCAAAAAGCTCCGCCCGTCTTCTCTGTTGAGGACATCAATTCCTCCACGGCTAATGTCAGCAGAACTGCATCCATTCGAGTATATAGTCCACTCATCTATTGTGACGTTGTCTACTCATCTACTGTGACGTTGTCTACTTATATACTGTGAAGTTGTCTATTCATCTACTGTGACGTTATCTACTAATCTACTGTGACGTTGTTTACTCATCTACTGTGACGTTATCTACGCATCTACTGTGAGTGTCGTAACACCAAAAGCGCTACGACAAACGACACAGCCTGCAGTAAACATCCGCTTTAGACACAGCGCTGAACTACAGCAAACACTTGTTTTCTGTACACGTGCACATATATGATTTTCGTAATCCTGCGTTGCCAGCCGTAAGTGGTGACGGAGGTGAGAATAACGTTGGAATATGCAGTTAAAACGTTGGCATAGGCAGCTATAAGCGGATAACAGATAATATAGGTAGGAATACGGTAATACCATTGATTATCAAGTAAATGATCGCGTATTTGCTGGCCAATGGAGCACACGCTATATATTTAGGTATGAGTAACTCGACGAATGAGAGAATGAGGTGGTCACATAAATCTGTTTCGATGCTTCGAAAATGTTAATGCTGACGATTTATTCCTTATATTTATTCCTTTTTACCTAACTTTTCCACTCCTTATAGCCTTCCGCTATAAGCACGTGATTCCTTATACACTTAAGCTGTGGACGTTAATATGCACTGACATGTATAGGATAGCAGAATTTGTTCCTTTAAGCAGGTTTCATTGGAGACCAGAGAATTAATTTTCTTGTTTTTAGTAATAAGTATATACGGCTGTAAACGACTTATCAGTCAGTGCATGTCGGTGAGCCATTAGCTCCAAGATATGAGAAAATTTCCATACATATACTTATAGGCTTATGAAACCCCAGTTTCAGAAAGCTTGCTCCACGCAGCTGCTGAATGAGCACTTGGGCAACTAACGTGCCTGAGAGAATGAGTGATCACTGCAATATTCCTTAATAACAAACAACAAATGATGTCTGTAATGATGATATCTCAGTATGTATAATGATGACTTTGACTCACCATCCACATTTCCGTGCCTTCTGTCAGACAGACGAAGATACAGTGACAGCTGCTGTCAGGGCGCTGGTAGTTTGACGGGGACTTCACGCATCCGCTGACAGATAAGAAGAGTCCTGCCAGAGGTGCTGGAAAGTCCTACAGCACTGTAATCGTAATGTGTCACATAAATGATGCGATGCCACTACTCTGTGGTGCTGTTACTACTCTGTGGTACTGCCATTACACTGTGGTGCTGCTACTACACTGTGGTGCTGTCGCCACACTGTGGTACTGCTATTACACTGTGGTGCTGCTACTACTCTGTGGTGATGCCACTACACTCTGGTATTGCCATTACACTGTGGTGCTGCTATTATGCTGTGATGCTGCTACTACACTGTGGTGCCGCCATTGCACTGTAGTCCTACCACTACACTGTAGTCCTACCACTACAAGTCCTACCACTACACTGTAGTCCTACCACTACACTGTGGTAGGACCTGTCTGCTGAGCCTAAGCCATGGTGGTGTGGGGCACAAAGGACTTTATTAACATGGAGGCCGTGGGGATTTGCAGCTCCTCCTACTCCCTGAGATCCTCGTGCTATTATACGATACCACTTCAATTCTGCACATGCATGTACGCAAATAAATTAAAGAATATCTCTTGATCAGCTTAAATCTCAAGGTAAAGGGGATTTTTTTCCAAAACAGAAAAGAATATTTTTAGCTGCCTCTTAGCTGCCACTCCACTGTGGTGCTGCCACTGCACTGCAGTGATGCTGCCACTGCACAGTAAGAAGCCATTACACTGTGGTACTGCCACTACTCTGTGGTGCTTATGACCTTATGATGAATTTAGGACTTCTTAGGACGCTGATGCGCCGCCTTCGTCATCCTCCGTCTTCAAGTCATCGTTAGGCAGCTCGCCCCGCCCTCTGGTCCCGGATGTAACGCTGGACGTGTTTCGTCTATCTGCCCTCCTTTGGGCCAGCTGATGCAAGATGATGTTGCTTGTCACTTGCTGAGGGTGGTTTTCCCATAACTGGACGATCCGTGATCTTCCTCAAAAACTTGTCCAGTCGTCTTAATTAGATGCCGCAAAGATGAACTCCCTCGTCTCAGCACATTTAGAAAGCCTCGGTCCTGCCACGGACAGTGATCTCTCACGAAGAGTCAGTACTCTTGCCGCGGCTCTGTTAATAAATTCTCTTTGGTGTGATAAAGAAAAGCTAAATAAAGCTTATATGGACAAATAAACATATGTTCAGACTTGAAATGCCTAGCAACATCTTGAACCTGGTGGAAGTTTATTAGCTATTTAAAACTTGTGTCAGTTTTGAAAATATCCGGTCAAAGGACCTGTTTTGGGATCTCTTGTGAACACGTCACAAAAAGTACGAGAATCGGCGATAGGCCATATCAGACCAATTCTTCAGCGCCGACATCACTATGATATGATATATTATGTTACTTTTAGGAGGTCTCATTTTAAAAGTTGGAAGCCTGTCCGGTTATCATCTTCCAAGTGTAGAATATGATATACGGATACCTCTCTCTTTTCCTATCCAGTGAGAACACTCCCAGGTCAGGTGTTTCAACCTTCCCCAGTAGTCCCGCTTCAGCTCCTTCATACCGCTAATCCTGGGCAGGTACTTTCAAAACATTGCTAAGTGCTCGCAGCAGCCTGAACGTGAAGGTCCGCTGGACTGACTCCAGATTCCGCACCGCGCCCGCCTTGAGTGACGACCAAAGTTGGCTGCAATACTTAAGATTGGGGACCACGAGGGCTCTGAAGAGTGTAATTATTGGCGCTGCTTCTCTCGTTTCAAATATCCGCCAAACCCACCCCAATCGTTGTCTGCCTCGCGCAACTATTGCCTCAGTGTGGTCATCGAACGTGGCTTCGGTACTTTTTAACACTCCGAGATCTCGGACAAGTTGAATTTATTCAATTTCTGTACCATCTTATGCTGAATAGCGGTGTGGCATTCCGGTTTCTGTACCGACTCTTTATCTCATTACTTCGAATTTGCTGCCGTTGAACTGCTTATTATTCATTAGGGCCCAACCGTAGATTGTCGACAAGCCATCCTGCAACCTCTCGCTGTCAAAGTCATCAACGAAATTTTTATTGTAATGATTTATTTACTAGTTCTTTTTATATCAAGCTTTCGAATCAGGAAGTTTCCGTGAATTACCTTTACAGTATTATCTCACAAAGGGTTAATTTTTGTGGTCTCTATTCGCGGTAGAACAAGACTAAGAATTAGCAATAATTGCTAACCTTTAATTTATTATTAGTTGAAATTAATAATTATTTAACTCCTTGTCCTTGGACTATAATAGTATATGTTACATGCACAGGGTGGCCCAGTGGTTAAAGTTCAGAGTACCGAGATTGACGCACTAGAGAGGCGCGGGTTCGATCCCAGCTCTGTGCGCCAGTTTCTGGTCAGAATCGGCTAGGAGGCCGGGCGGGCACAGCAGAATTGTAGCAGTGCGTTGCGAGTTCGAGACCTCAAAATGCTGTGAATATTCTGCGATGTTAAGAATCGGCGACAGGCCTACGGCCTAATAAACGCTGAAACCGCTATTATTATTATTATTATTATTATGTTCAATGCATAAGAGGTCATAAAGATAGTGAGGCTAGCAAGCTTCCAGCGGCTGCCGGAAAATTCGACCTAACCTTGGCGTGTATAAACCACTTGAAACGCGTGACCGCAAATTCAGAAAGATGGAAAAGTTGCAACGGATGAAATTCTAAATTGCACGTCACAAACTGCACCAATCATCGCAGTCGGGGGCTATTTGGTCCAGTTTTCAGTGCTTTTGTACAAAGGATAAAAATTAGGGGAACAGCTGACGCGGGGCCAATGCATTCCATGTTGAGGCAACTTGAGCGATGCTGAGCGTCGATCGACGAACTCGCGAACGAGTCAGTCACAGACTCACAGTCAGTGACTCAGTGTGGCGCCATGCCTTGCGTACGAAGGTGTCGTTGTGGTAGCGTGAAATTCGTGTGTGGCAGGTCATAGTTTTGATGGTCTGCGCTGTCTATCGTTGTATCGAAAGATTTTACTCATAGTTCCAGTTACTGTGGAGATGATGCTAGGAAATGAAGTGCTGAACTAGATGTTTTGCAAGCGAAATCTGATGAAAGGAAGTGCAGTAAACGCGAAGCGGCACTGCACCGCGTGCCAAAGAAGAACATTAAATTCTGAGCCCTGATTGCCCGTAGCATAGATTTTTGCATTTATTTAACGTTTGGCGTTTTCATTTGACAGAAATTCACGACTGCATGTCATGAGTCGCGCTTCTGATTCATTTTTCGCGCAATGGTCTTATTTACGCACGGCAAGAGAAAGATTGAACCTTTGGAAAGCCGCTTTGATCAATTCTTCATTTTGAGAGTTAGCTTAACCGCCGAACTAATGACTAACGTCAGTAACGGCTTTGGTGGCGAATAGCGGTGTCCGGTGTGAGATTTGCTTGTTCTCATTTAGGGGTTTGTAGAGCTTAATTTATGTTATATATATTTTGTTATTACTATTCCTAGTTATTTGTCAGCTCCAAATTTTTGAGTGCAACGCGTTTTCGTACCTATCTAGTCAGGTTACCGCCAGCGCCAGAAGCCCTTGTTTCGAATCGAAAAAGATTTGTACCAGGGCAAAATGTGACATTGGAAGCGAATTTACTTGATGGTCAACTTTTGAGGAACTTGAAGATTTGAGTGATATCAGGGAAATAATTAGTGAAAATCAGTTTTGTATACCTATTGGGGAGTGCCAGGGGACCATAGTCGTTATTTAGTCGTCATAAGTATTTTGTATACTTATGACGACTTGCTAATTATTATATTGAGATCTTTTGGAGTCAGATCAAGCAGAAGAGTTTAGGTACTTATTGAGAACACCGGAAGTCGAGACTCGAGTAGATCCTGCAGAACAATACAGGATTCAACAAGGAGTTCGAAATTTGGCAGATTGAACAGTTTACCTTCTATCTTCTCTCGTTTCTAGGCCTAATATGTGTAGGATTAGTAACTGCACAGTAATGCAGCCATTACACTGTGGTACTGCCACTACTCTGTGGTGCTTATGACCTTATGATGAATTTAGGACTTCTTAGGAAACGGTTACGCTGATGCGCCGCCTTCGTCATCCTCCGTCTTCAAGTCATCGTTAGGCAGGTCGCCCCGCCCTCGGGTCCCGGATGTAACGTTGGACGTGTTTCGTCTATTTGCCCTCCTTTGGGCCAGCTGATGCAAGATGCTGTTGCTTGTCACTTGCTGAGGGTGGTTTTCCCATAACAGGACGATCCGGGATCTTCCTCAAAAACTTGTCCAGTCGTCTTAATTAGATGCCGCAAAGATGAACTCCCTCGTCTCAGCACATTTAGAAAGGCATTAAACAGCCTCGGTCCTGCCACGGACAGTGATCTCTCACGAAGAGTCAGTACTCTTGCCGCGGCTCTGTTAATAAATGGGGGAATCCCGCACAGTTTCCCCTTCTCTTTGTTGTGATAAAGAAAAGCTAAATAAAGCTTATATGGATAAATAAACACATGTTCAGACTTGAAATGCCTAGTAACATCTTGAACCTGGTGGAAGTTTAGTAGCTATTTAAAACTAGTGTCAGTTTTGAAAATATCCGGTCAAAGGACCTGTTTTGGGATCTCCTGTGAACACGTCACAAAAAGTTCGAGAATCGGCGACAGGCCATATCAGACCAATTCTTCAGCGCCGACATCACTATGAAATGATATATTATGTTACTTTTAGGAGGTCTCATTTTAAAAGTTGGAAGCCTGTCGGGTTATCATCTTCCAAGTGTAGAATATGATATACCTCTCTCTTTTCCTATCCAGTGAGAACACTCCCAGGTCAGGTGTTTCAGCCTTCCCCAGTAGTCCCGCTTCAGCTCCTTCATACCGCTAATCCTGGGCAGGTACTTTCAAAACATTGCTAAGTTCTCGCAGCAGCCTGAACGTGAAGGTCCGCTGGACTGACTCCGGTTTCCGCACCGCGCCCGCCTTCAGCGGCGCATAAAGCTGGCAACAATACTCAAGATTGGGGAGCACGAACGCTCTGAAGAGTGTAATCATTGGTGATGCTTTTCTCGTTCGAAATATCCGCCAAATCGACTCCATCAGTTATATGCTTCGCGCAACTATTTCCTCAATGTGGTCATCGAACGTGGCTTCGATACTTTTCAACACTCCGAGATCTCGAACAAGTGGTTTTTCTTCAATTTCTGTACCACCCGATGCTAAATAGCGGTGTGGCATCCCGGTCTCTGTGTCGACTCTGTATATCAATACTTCGAATTTGGTGCCGTTGAATTGCTTATTATTCATTGGGGCCCAACCGTAGATTGTCGACAAGCCATCCTGCAACCTCTCGCTGCCAAAGTCATCAACGAAATTTTTATTGTAATGATTTATTTATTAGTTCTTTTTAGCGCATTTTCTCATTTATGGAAAAAATGCACTATTGTGCTCGCCATGTCCGACCGTCCGTCTGTCTGTCCGTCCGTCTGTCCGTGACGTCAAGTTTTCGTCGACGAGAAAATGACACTGCACCGCGTGCCACAGAAGAGCATTAAATTCTGAGCCCTGATTGCCTGTACTGTAGCATAGATTTTTGCACTTATATAACGTTTGGCGTTTTCATTTGACAGAAATTCGCGACTGCATGTCATGAGTCGCGCTTCTGATTCATTTTTCGCGCAATGGTCTTGTTTACGCACGGTAATAGAAAGATTGAACCTTTGACAAGCCGCTTTGATCACGTTAATTAAGCCGGGCCAAGCTAACCTCTGACGTCACAGTCGTCACTACGTCAGTAACGGCTTTGGTGGCGAATAGTGGTGTGACTGTGAGATATGCTTGTTCGCATTTTGGGGTTTGTAGAGTTTAATTTATATTATATATTTTGTTATTAAAATAGTTATTTGTCAGCTCCGAATTTTCGAGTGCAACTCGTTTTCGTAGTCAGTTTACCGCCAGAAGCCCTTATTTTCAATCGAACCTACCTAGATTTGTACTTGGGGAAAATGTGACATTGGAAGCGAATTTACTTGATGGTCAACTTCTGAGGAACTTGAAGATTTGAGTGAGATCAAGCCGCATCAAGGGAATAATTAGTGAAAATCAGTTTTGTATCCTTGAGCTGTTGAGCTTGACGACTTGCTAATTTTTATTTTGAGATCTTTTGGAGTCAGATCAAGCAGAATAGTTTAACTTATTGAGAACACCGGAAGTCGAGTAGATCCTGCAGAACAATTCAGGATTCAACAATCAACAAGGAGTTCGAAATTTGGCAGATTGAACAGTTTACCTTCTATCTTCTCTCGTTTCTAGGCCTAATATGTGTAGGATTAGTATCGACGATGTGTAATTCATCTGTTGGCAAAGGGTTAGAATTATCATGAAGTAGGGATTCAATCAATGTAGTATTATGTAACCCGGTGGGACGGTAGCCGTGCCGTGGCAGGAAATGTTGAAGGCTTGAAGCTGAGTTTGAGATGACGAGAGCACCTTGAAATTTGATCACTTGAACTGGCTGCGTTGCATGACTGATAGAATGTAGGTTAAAGTATCCTGCTTCCAAGCGTGACTGGAGTATCATGCCTCAAAGCTTGGCTGGAGTTTTGTGCTTTAGTATCAAGTCGTTCGGGAAATGTTCCCTGGTCTATTAGTGACGCCCAAGCACCGAAGCGCACGTTCCGTGCGGCTGCCAAGTGCCTGCAATTTTTACCCTTCCTTGAAATCGCTCGTGACGAGTTGAAGACACCCAACTCAATCACATGTACATTATTTACTACAAAAGAGCCGTGCAATCAACCCAAACTAGCCGTAACAATTAAGCCAATAATAGCGGAAACATCAAACCCAAAGACTATGAAAAAGTTCAATCCAAACAAACATCATGAGAGCATTAAACCTAACGCTGCAACCTTCGTGATAGCAAGGCTTATAACTCAGGATTTGTCTTCCCAGAGGTGAACGACGTTTACAAATACTACCCCGTATTTATTTCAATCAACATACATCGAAAGAATCAAAATGCAACGAATTTTATTGACAATATACGCTCTCATTTGCATCGGTGTCGGCGGCAGCAGCGTTCCAGCTGTGGACGTGCGGGTACAGGATAGTCGGCTGCATTAACCGCAGCAGTGTTATTGGAACCTAAAAGCACGTCTCGGACAAAAACGCGGCCTCTCTCACGGCCGATTGAACAGTTTACCTTCTATCTTCTCTCGTTTCTAGGCCTAATATGTGTAGGATTAGTACCGACGATGTGTAATTCATCTGTTGGCAAAGGGTTAAAATTATCATGAAATAGGGATTCAATCTTAATGTAGTATTATGTAACCCGGTACCCCCCCCCCCCCGGCAGCCGTGCTGTGGTAAGAAATGTTGAAGCTGAGCTCAGCTTGAGATGACGCGAGCACTTTGAAGTTGATCACTTGAACTTGATAGCCGAGTTGCATGACCGATAGAATTTAGGTTAACGTATCCTGCTTCCAAGCGTGACTGGAGTATCATGCCTCAAAACTTGACTGGAGTTTTGTGCTTTAGCATAAAGTCGTTCGGAAAATGTTCCCTGTCGTCTGTGGTCTGTTAGTGACGCCCAAGCACCGAAGCGCACGTTCCGTGCGGCTGCCAAGTGCCTGAAATTTTTACCCTTACTTGAAATCGCTGGTGACGAGTTGAAGACACCCAACTTAATCACGTCATTCACGTGTAAATTATTTTCCACAAAAAAGCCGTGCAATCAATTCAAACTAGCCGAAACAATTAACCCAAACTTAGCGAAAACATCAAACCCAGACTACGAAAAATTTCAATCCCAACATCTTGAGAGCATTAAACCTGACCTGCAAGGCTGCAACCTTCGCAACAGCAAGCTTATAACTCGGGATTTGTCGTCCCAGAGGTGAACCACGTTAACAAATATTAAAACGTATTTGTTTCAATCAACCTACATCAAAAGAATTATAAGGCAATGAATATTGTTGACAAATGACAATATACACACGCTCTCATTTGCATCGGTGTCGACGGCAGCGTTCCAGCTGTGGACGCGCGGGTACAGGATAGTCGGCTGCATCAAACGCTGCAGTGTTATTGGAACCAAAAAGCTGGTAACAATGGGAGTTTGCGCTAGACTTTAAGGATTAAATTTTGTCTACGCTCTACGGACACATTAACTGTCGGCAATGCTATCCGTAACTGAAGGCCTGAGGTAATGTATCGTTACCAACATGTTATCAACAGTTAGTTTTCATGCACTGTTGGAGCGGGAAAGCCGGCGCCACTGAGTCTTGCCTCTGGGCTGGCGGAGCAAAATATTTCGACTTCCGAAACATTTCGATATTTGTAATTGCCGAGTCCAAGTTAATAACTTCGCTATAAATTTCTCTATTTCTTTTCAACAGTCAAGTGAATCGCGTGAGGTCTGTGGCATGGCAATTTGAGCAATGTGCCAAGTAGTCATGGAAGCACGTCAATATCGTGATATCATCCTAGGATTAATATTGATGCACGCAGCCGTCTGACCGAGCACGTCATATTGTACGCTGAGCATCGCTCACCCACAATGTTTCGTCTGCAGCAGACGCGGGGCTGCAACCAGAAGCCTTGCGGCGACGACGCTTGCGTGTTTAATTGATTTTTTTTTTGCAATTGCCTGAGCAACAAGTGCTGTGGGGTGCCCATCGTTATGGTATGTGCGGTTACAGTGTAAGCACTTGGTCAAATGCGGGAAACTTAGTTCAATTAGCTATTCATTTTTTTGCATTTTGGCTCGGCACAAAGACCAAGCAGCTTTATTTCCGCACTTGGGTTAAGCTACGGGTAAGAATAGTGTGTTGGATAATATGACCCATTGACTTTTGTGAGTGTGAACACGTTTATCCGGCTGAAGGAAGTATATATATATGTACGGGGCTACATATTGTGTTCAAAGCACACAAAGTGATTATCATTGTTTGTCCAGGCTGGTGCATAATGCTCCAATGTTCAATATAGGTACAGCTTTTATTAGAGTCAATATTCTAATGATGCTGTCCATGCGTTGTTAGCGTCGATGGATGATGGAATGTACGTTCCACTAATGCTGACCTTCCCTTCCCTATTGAGTGTATAAATTAATCCACAGTGTATTTCTTTACAGAGAAAATAAGTATTCGATTTTATTAAGCAATAAGTAAATTCCTGCCTAAAAGCATGGATTACCAAGTCCAGACCCAGCAGCCCATGCCTGGTAAGTTTGCAGTAATCGAGCTTTAATTTCTACGTTCAAATCAATTCTCTCCTAATTTTAAATGAAAAAAAGTCATGAAACTCAACATATTTTCATTGAAAATTATCAGCAGGCCTAAGGATAGAGCCGGAGTGTTGCCAGCTCCACGTGTTGCCAGCATCACGTGTTGCCAGCATCACGTGTTGCCAGCATCACGTGTTGCCAGCATCACGTGTTGCCAGCATCACATGTTGCCAGCATCTATAATTCAGACACTGGCATTAATATTGCTACAATTAACATTCATTCTTTGCGTTAAAGTTGCGGTGAAGTAAATCATCTCCCGGCTTTTGTTCAAGGGAAACTATCATTGATCAGTTTCTGTCGATTAGCGACGCCGATGGTTGTAAGGCCCTGTAAACATCGCTTTTATTTATGATTAAATATTGCATAATTTAGTGATAATGAGGCGGCAACGTATGCATACGCCACAGCCTTTGCTCAGAGAAATGTTGCTGTTTTTGTCTTGCATGGGTCATCCTGAACCAGTTTGGTCCTGCAGTGAAGCGTATCAGTGACACGACCGTTCGTTGATTGTGCTGTCTAAGAAAGTGTCGCTATTTGGACAAATAAACTGATAAATTTTTCTGAGTGTGTGAGCGCTCGATGCGCTGGCGTGTCCACGATAGAAAGAAATAAAGAAGAAACTTCTATATATAATCGCGTGGTTGTTTACCGTGTTGATGCGTAAACACTTCGCACCCGCTGACCTTGGGGGTATAAATAACCCCTTGTTGGAGGTGGGGGAAGGTCAAGTGGGGGCGGAGGCGTGTGGGGTGATATTGATTGATGAAGCAAATATGCGTAAGTGGATTGCTAACTTTTTCTTTTTCACAAGTCAATATAGGCATGTTCCTTGGTAATCAAATGTGGTCAAAATGGATGTGCATGATGAAAACGCTGTTCTTGTCCCCTTCTCTATTACCCTCAAGCAGTAACCTTGGCTGAAATAACTATGTAAACTATAACGTTACGCCTATCCGCCATTGCATGCGCAGTATCAAAGTATGTCATTTGTACGTCAGGGAGCTGACACGCACAGCATTACTATTCCTATTGAGCCTGATGTCGCGTTCTGAGAACTGAACGCATGCAAGCAGCAGTACAATTGATCCGGAATTGTGGTACTACAGTGCAGGGATGGTGATGTTGTGGGACCAAAGTGTAGGGATGGTGATGTGGTGCCACTTAGAACTTGGCAGGGATGGTGATGTTGTACAGAGTGCAGTGCTGATGTGGAGAAGACGTGGGGCGAAGTGAAATGAATAATGAAATAACAAGAATTCAGATGTATAAATTCAAACGAAGATTCTCAGAAACAATTGTTGTGCTCTTAATGCGGGCATGTAGGTGATTTACGCATGCTGCTCGAGTTAAGAAAGTTTAGCAATGTTCAGTAATGATCAGTAATATTCAAGCTGTGAAATCCAGTCGCTATGGCAACCTCAAGCCACCGAAAGGCTGGATTTGGCACCCCAGAAAAAGCCACTCGCGTGTTGTTCAATTACTGCAGCACCGAGCAACGCCCAAAGCTGGCAGAGAAGGAGCGATGTTAACAAAAATTATTAGTCGTCAATTTTTGTTTGATGAGCATTCGTTAACAAGCAATACAGGATCTTAAATAAACCGTCAATTCTTTGGAACAGTTAATGCTGTTGAGATTAATCGCATGCATGAATGCGGTAAGGACTCATTTTAAACGTACTATCACGACGTTTGCATACATCCCTACAATCGCATAGCATTTGCAATTTTTTGCATACGACATTCTTACAATCGCACAGCATTTGAATACAGCATTCCTACAATCCTGCGATACTCTCCAAATAATCAAGCGCTTCGTCAAGCGCCTGCTGTTACAGATCAATTTTGTTTTGCATCTTTTTTTGCAGCTACATTTTTTTGCATTGTGAGTTCTGCAAGTTGTGCTGCAAAAATGCGAGAATGCCACTCTTTGCTCTCTCTATAGGTCTTCTGTTGCCTGTGAAGTGTCGTTGATCTCTGCAACAGATGCAAGTTTGGTGAGAACTTCATCAACTTCATCATATTATTAGTTTTGATGCACCTATGCCTCGATGGTCCGGATGTTCGAGAAGGTTGAATAATTTTCAATAGTGAATATAATTATATTTTTCAATGCAGAGCACATCGCTGTATCGCTAAACTGATACAACTCTTGCCTAAACTGATACAACTCTTAACAAAGGATAAGCTAACAGCCTTATGTGCTGTTCATAAAGATTAGGCTGTCAGCTTATTACGTGTAGTACGTGCAATAAAGATAAGTGCAATATATATATATATATATATATATATCAATTCAATATAGATTAGAGCAATATCGCCCTAAAAACTCTCTGTGCAGTTATGTGCCGCGACAGCAAGTAAGCGGCACTTGAGCAAGGGTTTTTAACAGGTGCCTTTACGTTATTTAAAATTTGATTGCTACTCAATAAATAAGAATAAACCTTATCGCTGTCCAGATGATTGTTGTGAGTACACGATGTGCTACTTTATTGTCTGCGAATTATTAATAGTATTAATCTTTTTATACGTGCTTTTACCAATTATAATAATTTATCACATTGCTCTGCCCAGGCGGGATGAACTGGGCGCCGGTGCCGCTGGCGCCGATGCCGAGCTACAGCCCCGCGCTGGCCTACCTCGCGACCGTCGACCAGCTCGTCGTCGAGCAGAAGAAGGAGCTTGTGGAGAGTGAGTGGTGAAATGAGGTCTAATGTGTAGTGATGGCGTACTGTATAGCGTACTAAACTGGTATGCTTTTCATCAAGCGCGATTGGAAGCTCAACGGCTACATAATTCACTGAATATTCAGTCACAAATTGTCAAATTTTCCCACTAACTTAACTGTCAAATTACTTCGGCACTTGAATGTCACCGAATCTGCCCGTGAGAGGGAGCTGCCCACCAACAATCAAGAGTTAACTTGGTATTGCTTAACCACTTGAACGGAATGTTTCATTTTTTATAGTAAGGAAAATTTTGTTTTTTTTTTCTTTGATATTTAAGACATGTCTCGTCTCGTTGCGTCATGTCTCGTTTTATATCAATCAGTCTCGTATCATCTCACAGTTACCGGGACACAAGCTGTAAAATCCGAGACACAAGTCTTGTATCGGTTCATACGTTTATTCCGGGATGAATTTTACCTTCTGTCCCGTTATTTTTTTCCCGGTAATTTCTCGCCTCGTCTCGGTTGTCCCGGTTCATTTCGAGAAAATTATTCCGAGACTCAGGAGTCTAGCCAACCGAACTTGGGCCAACTGAGTGATGAAATCGGGCCAACCGAGTGATGACATAGGGGCAAGTTATTTACATAAAGGTCCTTAATTTACAGATGATATCTCTCGTTACCAGACCTTTAGGTAGGAATAGCATTGACGGCGAATAATGTAACGTAATACAAAGTATTAACAGCTCGTATATATTACCGCACCACCCGGTACACGGTGGTTGCACGAACGTGTATCTCATTGCACCACTCTGCAACACTCAAAAAATGAACGGGCCATATTGTCCAAATAGTGACGCTCTTTCTTAATTACACCACGAGTGGGGAGCAGACGTAGCACGTACTGATACGCCCTTTGTCCGGGGGCAAACATCAGTGCGCATTCACGGCGCAGTCCGGGGCGCATTCATGACCCGCATCCAGCTGTAAAAATTCTGCGATGTTCAGAAGCGGCGACAACACTAACGGCCAAATCAGCATTCCTAGATGCAGAAGCGATGAAGCAGTTGTTTGTTGCTGTCGTGCGCCCGAATCTAGAGTTTGGAAACGTTGTGTGGTTACCGAGATTTGAAAAGGACAAAAATTTAATAGAGAATGTTCAAAGACGTGCAACAAGGATAATCCCAGGCTTGAAAAGCAAGTCCTATGAAGGAAGATTAAAGATTATGAAGCTTCCAAGCTGTAGTTATCGACGTCTGCGTGGGGACCTCCTTGAAGTATACAAGTATACTCATGGTTTATACAAGGTCCTCGAAGGATTACTAGAATTTGAAACAAGAACAAACACCAGGGGCCACGGCTATATACTAAAAAAACTGCGCAGCAACTTCTCCACGCGACGACATTTCTTCTCGCTTCGAATCACCGACATGTGGAACAGCCTCCCCGATGACATCGTTGGCGCTCCAAGTATTAACGCGTTCAAGAACAGACTAGATAAAGCTACAGAAAAATATATGTTCAGATTTGAAATGCCTAGCACCATTTCAAACCTGGTGGAAGTATAGTAGCTATTTCAAACTATCGTCAGTCGTGAAAAGATTCGGTCAAATGACACGATTTTAGATCTTTTGTGAACAAGGCACGAAAAGGAAAAAAATAGGCGACAGGCCACATCAGTCCTACACTTTAGCGCCGAGATCACTATGTTATGTTATGTTAAATCTTTTACGGTAACACCGCTCTTATATTATTAAGTTTGCTCGTTTGTGCAGTCGTGCTGGGCTACGAGTCTGCCAACAAATACGAGGTGAAGAACAGCCAGGGACAGACGATCTTCATGGCACTCGAGGATTCGGACTGCTGCTCCCGCAACCTGTGTGGTAACCTTCGGCCTCTCGACATCAAGATCATCGACTGCAACCAAACCGAAGTGATGAAACTCGTCCGCCCCCTCGCGTGCCAGGGCTGCTGCTTCCCCTGCTGTCTCCAGGTGAGTGATACAGTAATGGCTGGTCCGGCTTTAGCCCTGCTTTATTCGGTTGATAATTATGGCTGTACTCTCGCAGTGCCTAGGTGACAATGGCCTAGCAGGTGTTCAGATTTGCTACGGCATATGCCGTAGCAAAACAATTGCTTGCTAAACAATTTTCTGCTTTTATTTAGTATCCTTGGTATTTTTTTCGGACGTAGCAGTCCCAGGCCACGCCGCCTCTTATCACCGTCTCTGACTATCGCTCATCCGCCCTCATTTAGGCTAGCTGATGCACGATGCTGTTGCTTGCTTCTCGCCGCTGGTAGTGTTGTAGGGGATATCGATCAGGGATTGTGCCCAGGAACACGTCCAGTATGTGGTACTCTCCTCTTCACCCTAGCCTCGCTCGATCTCGAGCCTCCAACAACGACAGCTTGTAGTTTTTCTGTTTGGAAGCTGTGGATCCATGCCTGCAATTCACCTCCGACCCCAGTAGTCTTAATTTTCTGAAGAGCACTCCATGGTCAACATTTTCGCTCGGATTTGTCTGTCGCTCTTTCTTTGTAGATTGGGGTTATTAGCCCCTATTTCAGGTTACTAGGAACGTTTCCTGCTTTCAATGTTTTCCAGAGCAAAGTCAGAGGGACCTTAGTGTACCGACACATTTTTTCAGTAACACTTCAGGAACCCCATCTGGCCCAGGAGCCGAAAAAGGCGATAATTCATGGGTAGTGGGTACTCCTCTCTGAATCCGGTGTTTCAAACTCAATGTTCATCAGCACCTGTCCCCCTGGTAGTTCTTGAATGACTCTAATTTCGTTTTCCTATCATGAGTATCGGGGTTTGCTGAATACTTTTTCAAACTGCGTTCCAAGCAGTTCGCACATGCTCTGGTCGTCTCCATGAAGATCGTTCTTTTTCAGAGGCCCCACTGAGGCCCATATTTTGGCTTTTGACTGGACCTATTTGTATAAATATTTCGGATTCTCTCGAATGGCAGACACCTTTTGCGCCTCCGCAACTTGTTGCTCAGCTTCGTGCGATTCCTGCAACTGTCGTTCAGTGTCCTAAATTTTCTCCTTTAGATGTTCCTGCCTCCGCCTGTCCATGTTCATGCCTCTGCCAAGCTCCGCCATTAGATGTTCATGCCTCATTATTACTCAGGTACTCAGATGAATGATTGTAGCATGTCACTCAGGTATTCAGATGAATGACTGGGTCATTATTACTCGTATATTCGTATGAATGAAGCTGAATATTGCAGACGATGGACGTTGAGTGCCCCCCTGGCACGGTCGTGGGCAGGATCGAACAGCAATGGAGCATCCTCACTCCAAAGTTTGACATCAAGAACGAGGCTGGAGAGACGGTCCTTAAAATCAAGGGGCCAATATTCCAGTGCAACTTTTGTGGCGACGTCGAGTTCGAGGTGAGTCTCTAGCTTAGTCAGTGACGCTCTACATTTAAAGGAAAATGCTGGTTTCGTCGCCACTAATGTTTGTCTTGAGCACAAGTATCATTGTTGAAGGCCAATGATTAAACTTTGTTAAAGTCGACATCTTCTATGCATAAAGTCTTCGACAATCGAAGGGACTTTGCCGGCCGACTGGAAAGAAGTCCAAGCCAAGTGACACTCCTGTTCAAAAAAGGTTAAAGAAGTAACCCCGGTAACTACCGTCCTGTAAGTCTCACAAGTGTTGTGTGTAAGGTGATGGAATCGGTTATGAGGGATAGGATTATCGATCACTTGACTGTTAACCATCTTCTGTCAGACTGTCAGCATGGCTTTATTGCTGGCAGATCATGCACCACTAATCTCCTGTCTACCTTGAATAATTGGACTCGCCTGCTGGACGAAAGGGAGCCAGTGGATGCACTGTACCGCGATTTTGCCAAGGCATTTGATAGTGGCCCGCATGAGCGACTGTTCCGTAAAGTGAATTCTTTGGGAATAGAGGGAAATTAACTCCAATGGATCAGGAATTTCCTAGTAGGCAGAAGACAACGTGTCAGCATTAACGGAACCTTATCAGACTGGGTAACTCTGCGCAGTGGCGTACCGCAAGGAAGCGTTCATGGGCCTGTTTTGTTTGTCGCTTTTATAAACTATCTACCAGAAGTAGTGTCAAGCGTGTGCTCCATGTATGCCGATGACACAAAAGTTTATAATACAGTTAAGGATGCCTCAAATAAAATGCAACTGCAAAATGATCTTGATAGTTTAGTTGACTGGGCTGATGCGTGGCAGCTGCGTTTCAATGCTGACAAGTGTAAAGTACTTCACCTCGGCAAGAACAATGAACAGGAAGCTTACAGCATGAGAAAACACGGTTGCAACGAGCGGGTTATGATTGAGAAGTCTTGCGTGGAAAAAGATCTTGGAGTTTGGGTCGACAAGGAGCTAAAATTTTCTAGGCATATTGAAACACAAGTTAGTAAATCTAATAAACTGCGTGGGCTGATCAGACGCTCCTACGAGTACCTAGATATAGAAATGATGAAGCTGTTGTTCACCTCTGTCGTGCACCCGAACCTAGAGTTCGGAAACTTTGTGTGGTCACCGAGACTTGAAAAGGACATAAATTTAGTTGAGAGTGTTCAAAGACGTGCAACAAGGATAATTCCAGGCTTAAAGGGCAAGTCTTATAAAGAAAGATTGAAGATTATGAAGCTTCCCAGTCTCCGTTATCGTCGCCTGCGTGGTGACCTCATTGAAGTATACAATTATGCTCATGGTTTGTACAAGGTCCCAGGATTACTAGAATTTGAAACAAGAACCAACACCAGTGGCCACAGCTATAAACTAAAAAAACTGCGGTGCAACTTTTCCACGCGATGACATTTCTTCTCGCTTCGAGTCACCGACACGTGGAACAGCCTCCCTGAAGATATTGTTGACGCTCCGAGTATGAACGCGTTCAAGAGCAGACTTGACAAGGCCATGCAGGAGCATATGTTTAGTTTTAAAATGCCTCGTATCCTACGGAACAACTGAAATCTAGAAGCGATTTTAAATCTACCGTCCGTTGAAAAGATTTGATCAAAAGGCCAGTCTAGCCAAGAAAAGTACAAGAATCGGCGACAGGCCTATCCAGGCCTATTCTTCAATGCCGAAGATACTATACTATAATAGAAGGAAAAGGCCAGTAATTTTAAGCGATAAGGAGCCTAATTTTCACCTTGTTTGACGATTGGACGTGTTGAACATCTCGGTAGATTTGTTCTTTTCTCTCAAATTCTGTCAAATGTATTATTACAATTTTGGCTTAGTGTACAATTAATTTTCAAGGATCCCTTGAGCAACAGTGATTGTAACGGTATTATCTGGAGTTCAGTACGTTGGAAGTTTTTTAATAACGTTGGAATTTGTGGTTGTGGAAATAATATCTGAACCTAAGCATGAAAAATGGTTCTGGAGGGTTTCCATTATTTTGTTCTATTTACGCTAAGTAACTGAATGGTAACATCAAATATGTTGCTCGTTGTACCTATTACTTCTTAGTCTGGCATGTTAGTTGACATTTAATTTAAATGGATTCCTCAGTTTGCGAGAATTGGACTGCTTTGATTCGAATCAAAGTAATTTTAACTCAAAACTTTATCAAGAAAATTGTTCATCTCATATTTGCACAGGTGTTTTCATAGGCGTAAGTTCATAACAATGAATCTAGTTATTCGAGTGAATTTAGCTTACATCCGATTTGTTTTGTTTACAGCCAAAACATCACATTTTCATCCAATAACGCAAAGTTTCAGCCAATAATGCCGACACCTTGTTACAGATCCTGTCAGTGGACGGTGACACGCAGGTAGGCAAGATCTCGAAGCAGTGGGCCGGATTGCTGAAGGAAATGTTCACCGACGCCGAACATTTCGGCATCAACTTCCCGCTTGACTTGGACGTCAAGGTTAAGGCCACGCTACTCGGTGCCCTCTTCCTCATCGTGAGTCGCGTTGGGGCGGTTTACAATTTAAGGATTTTCAACCTACCGGTTTAAAGAGGCAAAGCGCTTCACTTCGCTTTTTTGCTTGTTTTTGAATCCACAAAAGCGGTGATCTTCTAATTTCATTTTATTACTAGGGTTTAATTGAAGGGATTGCATAATGCCGGAAAGTTGCTGGCTTGGATGGTCATAATGTACAGGACGTCAAACATTCTCTAATTGACAGGACGTCAAACATTCCCATCAAACATTGTGTCTAATTTTAGTAAAAATTCGAACCTACCTTCCCAGTCAGGTGACCTACCCCCCAGTCAGGTGACCTATCCTCCCAGTCAGGTGACCTACCCTCCCAGTCAGGTGACCTACCCTCTTTTTGTGCAGGATTTCCTGTACTTCGAGTTCAACAAATAAGTCCGGCGCTCCCCACAACCATCTCACCCAAGTCGTCCGTCACAGCAAACTTCTTTTCTTCAACCAAAATCAACTCTCTTCTCTGTCTTATGTTCGATGTTTGCGTTCCATCAAATAATTTCATCCGGTGTATCCTCCGAGGCTATGTATCCCCCGGCGGAATTTATTCTGAGAGGGAATGTATCCTCCGAGGGAATGTATCTTCTGAGGGAATGTATCCTCCGAGGGAATGTATCTTCCGAGGGAATGTATCCTCCGAGGGAATGTATCTTCCGAGGGAATGTATCCTCCGAGGGAATGTATCCTCCGAGGGAATGTTTGCTCGGTGGGAGTCTCGCAAAGCAACAGTGTTCATCGCGGTCGCACGCTCGATGAATAGTGAATTTGTGTTGTTGTATAAGGAATAATGTTTTTATTGTTCTCGCTTGTCCTGAATACTGCCGACTGCGGCTAAAATCCAATCTAAAATGATTTTTGTATCACATGCGAATATGTTGTGCGTGTGTGTTTGTATGGATTCATACTTTATTGCTGACATCATGAATGCTGGCACCAAAGTTTCCTATTCTTATGTCAGCGCTCGTGTTCTATTTTTCGTCCTGTTCTTAGTGCTTATCTTTGTTCTTGGCCGATTCATTTTGCTTTATTTTACCAGCCTTATTTTCGCTTTATTTTACCAGCCTTTACCAGATTAGATTACCACGGATGTATTTTTTATATATATTTTATAACCACTAATGTCCTTGCAGTGTTGCATGCAGGATTGACTACGAACTATTATATGTCTAAATTGAGATTAGGTGTCTAAAACTCTAAATAAATAAATAAATAAATAAATATTATTTATCTAAAGTCTAATGTCTATGCAAATGAATATTGAAGAGACGTCGCAAGTATCAAGTGTTACTGGCACCAAATTACGGTTGAGGGCGAATGATTTTTTCATTTAATTACTCACGGCTCTGAGAATTAGAGGCTTTAATTTCCAAACCATCCAATGATATAGTTTAATTGATGCCAAATTTTGAAAATATTTCAGCCGAATAATATATACAAGCAATTCTTCGAATTCTCGCGTCGTGCGGTACACCATAAAGAACAGTTTAGTTATCGAGTTCTGTGAAGAGCAGCTCGCGTCGCTGCTTCGTCAAACGCGTGTCCTGCTTGTATCAGTCTTATTGCTATATATATGTGTTGCCCATGCGACAGAACTTTCTATTTATGTTTTTAATTTCTCTTGAAAACGCAAACGAGTGAGGGGTGGAAAGAAACGCACGACAACGAACCAAAGTTAATTATATTGATCATAATGGTTTCGAGCTGCGTCGCCTCAATCGCACCCCGAAGCAGCGGCAAACTTCCCGAGAACGTCGAGACTCGAGAGCGTTAGAGCGCTGCCGCTGCACCGCACGCGGTTAACAAGAAGTGAATGCCTGCAATTAGTGAATATAGATTTTAGAATATTGGGATTGATCTTAGTTAACTGAAGAATAATGCCAGGAACATAGTTCTGGAAGCTATATATATAACTTAATCATTTATGGATATAACACAGAACATTCACTTTTATAGTTCACGAGTGGGACAAGCATTAGTGATCACAATGTGTGGGTTGACTAAATGAACTGAAAGTAGAGGGCCGGCCGGCATGTCACTCCGAATCCGTGCACTGCGACCCACCTCTACCGCAGTAGGCTTGCATAGAGTTCCACAGACGACGCAGACTGCAGCAGTCAACGTAGTCGGCCTCCTGCGCGCCGTCGGGTGCCAGCGGCTCCATGAAGTGCCACCTCGCTGACGGAGTTGACCGATGAAGGACTAGCCGCTCTCCATCCCTACGCGAAGATCCAAATACACAGATACGGAGCGATGCGTACATGCGTTGCAGTAGTGTGTAGAGGAGGTCGTCATGCGGTGGTAGTTGGTGATGAACTGTAACGGCTGGGCCGGCTGGCAGGGCTGAAATCTCGAGGTTGCGGGTTTACCTCTATATGGCGAAATTAAGTGGGCACAGGTAGGCACGTCAATGGAGACAATACCGTCGGAAATTAATTCAAGTTTAGACATGGGGAACATTGTGATCACTCATGGCTTCAAATAAAATGAAATGAATGATAACAGTTTTCAACAATTTCAGAGCACTTGCCAGCTAGAGAGCGTAGGAGGTTCCAGTATCTGGGCGGATTGGTGCATCGGTTAAGTTGAATGTTGCTAGGTGAGCGCGTCAGGATTCCCTGTCGCTGGCCTGTATGGAGATGTTATTGAAATATCGTGATTCAAGATGAGTAGTCTCGGGTGTAGGTGGTCTTGCAGTCTGATGCCGTCCCGCTGCTCTATGAGCTTCCTGGTGTCAGGGCTGTTGGAGGGAGTGAAGTCCTTGCGGAAGCCGGTAGGGATGTGGTGCGGAAGCCGCCGCCATGAGAATCCTCCCTTAGAATCACTTCGCTTCCACACGAGGTGGGAGCAGGGATCACTTCTCGAGTGCTTCCTCCGTCGTGGCGGTATGTTGGGCCAGTTTGCCTTACGGAAGTTAACGTAAGAGCGGGCGGATCGGGCAAGTGCATAGGAGGTTGACTGAGAGAGCGCGATCAGGATGATTTTTTTAGCTTATAGCCGTGGCCCCTGGTGTTGGTTCTTGTTTCAAATTCTAGTAACCCTTCAGGGACCCATGTCAGGTGATGAGACAGGACCGTTGATAGGAAATCGGGTGGGCGAGTCTCCATTGAGAATCCCGAAGGGAGAAACGGAAAAAAAGTCGCTGACGCCGTGGCTCTGGAACCGTCTGTAAATAAGTGCCAGGAGGCGTTATGGGCATCGTCTCCCTGGCGTTATGGGCAATCGTCTGTGATGGAGAGGATGCCTGGCAGGTATGTTAGAACCCAGGGAGGCTGTAAGAATTGAGATATTGATGATCTTAAGTTGAAAGCCGTTCAGAAATGTTGTGATAACAAAGTATTCCATGATAATGTCGTCATGGAGTAGGGTGCTCGTGCCCTGATTGGAGTAGCACTCGCCATCAGTGTGTGGAGGACGCCACCGCGGCTTCCTGAACGGACCTGATGCTCGACCGCGGCTAGTTCGGATGCAATGGACTGGGTGATGTTGCTGTTGAACTGTAAGATGTGAGCGGAGGTCGTAAAGGGCAGGGTTGGGGGCGCTGGTGCTTCAAAGGTAGAGTTGGGGGTGCTGGTGGGTTGACGTAGGATCTAGAGGCAAGGGTCCTTGCCGACCGCGCTGCTGCTTCCAGGCTAGTTCGGCGCAGGCTGGCGGAATATGGGGCAGATCCAGTCAGCAGAGTACAGGTGAATTGAGGTCAGGCCTGAACTCCTCTTGTAGGTCCATGCCGCGTATCGGGAGCATAAGGAGTATCCCCTCCAAGTGACCGGCGACTTGCAGATCTTATAGAGTGGGGTTCAGGTTGTGATGAATTCCCAGAGACATGAGGAGCAGTCAGTAAAAAAAGAGGCATTGGGAAGTAGAGAGGACGAAGGTTTTTCGTAGAGATGGGGGCATTGGTCAGGTTACAGGGGCCAGGGTCGGAGGAAGCTGAGGTTGTCCGACTCCCAGGGAAAAGGTGAGCACGCCCATCGGTGTCCGTGAAGTCGACGGGAAATTCTCTGCTGTTTGACCCGACCGCGAGCACGCTGAGCCAGCCGGCGTCGCAGCCTGCATGGTAGACTCACTGAGAAAGGCGCGGGAAACTCGAAGAGCAACGCTCGGTCACGAATCACCGCTGGAACACTGTTGGCCCTCGAAATTTCTTAGCCCAGTGCGATAAGGGGAGCGTGTACCCTGAGATCTAAGAAATCACGTTTTTTGTGTTATTATCTTTTTGTAGAGAAAACGATTACGAAGAAAATAAAATAAACTCCACTAAGGTAGCTTTCATCGTTTTTTTCGTGAGATCGTTTTGAACTTTTATAAAATTGCCATTTTATAACTAAATTTTATATAGATTTCTTTGAATTTTGACCTGTATTTATAGATCATTCATTATTCGTGTTAATTGCACAGTGTTTGCATTCGTTTGAAAGCTGCGAATGCTGCGCGTTCGATAAAGGAAACCCCCATGGAAGTACGTGCAATATTTTTTGCGTTAGGTTGTTTGGAACGTGGTGATCATTTAAATTTGTTAGCTAAATTTGTACACTAATTATTTTAAATTTTAATCTGTTTTTTTAGATCATTATTCTTGTTCATAGCATAGTGTTTGCATTCGTTTGAAAGCTGCAAAAGCTGCGCGTTCAATAAAGCAAATCCCATGGATGTATGTAGATGCAATATTTTTGAGTTAAGCCGTTTTGAACTAAGAGAAAATTTTACTTTTATCTATATAAAAATTAATAGAAAAATTCACATTTATATCGTATTATTAACGTTAAACTGGACAAGAATAAGTCTAAATACGCGTAATGGTACCCACAATGCGAGTAATTAGCAAATGGTAAAGCTTGGGCTACAGTATCTGGTATTTTTTTGGAAAATTCATATTTTTTCTATAAATTTTCACATATTTGGCTTCCCTGAAAGTTAATTTTTACGACTTAAAATCCATCTCCTACAATTTTTCAGCTACAGCAATGAGAGATATACCATTCGATCTCAATAGATCATCCGCTCATTTTTTTCGATTTCTTTTTCGTTTTTGAATATATATTAAAAAAGGGTCAAAAAATTGAAAGAAAAAAAATTTACAATAAAAAAATCAGAAAAATAAAGTGAACGGATGATCTGAATCGAATGATATGTTTCTCGATGTTGTAGCTTGAAAATCCTAGGTGGATATAGATTTCTACAGTACCCCATTTTTCCGTTTTCTAGGCATTTCACGTTTTCTTTGATTCTTTTTCGAAAAGTTTACAGGAGCAGAAAAGCTTTCTCTTTCTATTTTACATACAGTATGTGTACCAAATTTCAAAATGATCCGTCCGTAAACATAAAAGTTCCCATTTTGGGTGCATGCTCCCCTTAAACGAAAGCGAAGAAGACGAAATAAATTCTGACGAAGCTCGCAGGATCATAATGTGAATAATGAGCTAATGTTTTTGATTAGAGCCAAATGGGTGCGTGAAAAGCTTGAAAATTTGAAGCGTGAAAAGGATACCATTAATTAGGATTTAGCGTGCTAAGTTGAACAAAATGATCTAAGATAAATAAAATATTTCTGAAGACGCTCACATGAACGTTTTGTTAGTAAAAAGCAAGTTTTTAATTAAAACAAATCGGTCAAGAATTTAAGATTTTAAGCGTGACAAGGTTGTCAAAAATTATCATTTAGCTTGCCAATATGAAAAAAATGAGCGATTAAAAAACAGTGCTGTTGTAAATTTTAGGCCATAAGCCAGGCCAAATTCCGGGCCATGAGTATCGATGTGGTACCTGCATGGCACAAACTCCAACTGTAAATCTATTAGTCGGGGGGACCAGTTTCCAGTGTTCCTGGTAAAAGAACAATAAAGAAATAGGGAAGAGAAGCGGCCGCTCCACACTCCATTCACTGTGCCTGACTGCCTGTTGAATCAGACTAAAAATCTAAAATAACGAAATCAGTTATCACTTGATTCACTTCTCAGTTCTCACTGAGCAGTGTGGCGCCAAGCCTCGTGAGTGACGGGCACTACGTGTGGTAGCGTGAAGCTCGTGCGTGTTAGGTCATGGTTTTGATCTGCGCTACCCAGCGCTGTCTCGGAAGTTTTTACTGGCAGTTCATTTACTGTAGTTGTGTTGCTAAGAACTGAAGTGCGGAAATAAGTGTCTTGCAAGCAAAATCAGGAGAACGCTCATGAGGGAAGTACAGTAAGCACGAATTTCACGAGGCAACCAACCCTTTCAACCCTTATTATCGTCAGCATTGATTTTTTCATTTACTTAAAGATAGTGGTTAGACGATGATTTCATTTGATATTAACTTAATGACTGCAAGTTATGAGCCGGGCTAAAAATTTATTTCTCGTGTAATGATATTTTTTACGTGTGGTCATTGGTTAGAGAACGAGAGCTACGTTCAGACCTTGGATTATGTTGTAATGTAATGTAATAGCGGTTTCAGGGTTTATTAGGCCGTAGGCCTGACGCCGATTCTTATCATCACAGAACATTCACA